ATAATTGAAAACTTACCCGTAAACATGCATGGCTTCATAAATTTAATGATGCGATGCGGGTCGTATACTCGTATAAAGCCGAGCGCACCCAGTCTGTCGCTCGCAAGGTCGTTCCGGTTCCTGTCTCCATTGCAAGGCTGTCCAAAAGTCGATTTGAGGAGAAGGATGGGAGTAGGAGTAGGTGGTGGGGTGTGTTGGACATAAAGGCACGCGCTTCTGTTTCTGCACTTGAAGGCTTAATTGAAGTTCAAGTAAATTAATAAAAATTGAAATATTCATAAGCAGATAATGAGAGGGCCAAATAGGAAGGGATAATAAATGTTGCTCTTATCTGACATCTAGTTGAGGGCATCAGCGTTGAAGTTTCATCCTGCAAGTGTCGTCATTTCATATTCCATCAAAGTTATGTCCAGTGCTCCTTTGTGTTTTTGTTCCATTTTTTCTTTTGCAATACATGCTGAAGTCAGCTGCCTAATTAAGTTGTTGAGGCCAAAACAAAAGACTCAACCAGCCCTCAAAAATGGTTTGGCAAGGTGAGCTGATTTTGCTTCCCGATTTCTTGCTGACGCACAACTCGAGTGAAAACTCAAATCAAATTTCGTACGTGAGAAGGATTGGCAATGCTAACCACATACATATATATACAAATATATATATATATATATATATATATATATATATATATATATATATATATATATATATATATATATATACATATATGCAGATTTAAAGGTGGCCGTTGTCCCTTCTACGCCACCGTTCACCTGACTTTTCGTTTTTTAGGCCAATGGCTGTTAAATGGCTGTTTGCGTTTACAATAAAATCGCAACTTGCCTTTTTTCCAACGAACTGGCCGTCAGTCATGTAACTCTGCGTAAGTGTATGTGTGTGGGCGGGTGTAGGCGTGTACGTAATAACAGTATTTACGACACATGTGACCAAACCATAGCCTATAAATTGTGATTTAAAACCGCACAACCCCCTCACTTGGCCACCAATTTTGATAGAATTATTTTGGCTCGTATCGCAAACGAGTCCAAATTTATGATTGCCCCCACAATTGGATAGATATTAGATTTTGCGTGTGCTTTTCATTTCGCATGACCAACGAGCCCTATTTCTCGAAATTGATAATAATCAAATAGGCATCAATTATCCGCATATCACAAAATAATTCGGCACATTAGGCTCATCAGGTAGCAGTTCTCTCCCTCTTCTGGCTATCATCGCCAGCCGATTATCAGTCGGACGTGAGCAGCGCGATAACAGTTACCCTTACCCTCATTTTCAATATCACAACAGCCTTCATCACTGACGTCAGTGAGGCTTAGCCGTTTGACTTGGAAAATTTCTTACGCTCGCCACGCTCAGCAATTAGTCCAATGATGATAGACCAATGGGTACCCAAATGACGTATGAGTTCTTTGTCCTTTAGCAGAAATTGGCAGGGCAATTACCAAATTTTCGCTAATTGCGATTTAGTGCGAGTTAATGCCGCGATTGTCACCTGGCGACGTCTATTAAAATTTATATGTTTGTTCAAACTCAATAAAATATACATACACAGCCATTAGACAATGGCTGGCTTTGGCTTTACTGTGACCTCAATGTAGTGAGAGCAATTTACCTAAAAGCCCCTTCGCAAGATGGATTGCCTTTGTGTGGATGGCGTACTTGTAAGTATAATGGCAACTATGACCAGAGAGTCGCCTTCAATCTAGGCTATAAAAATCTTATTATTTCATTGTTTCTGCCGACGCCTACTCATTAATACTTGTAGTCCACAGTATACTCGTCTATATAATTGTATATGACAATAGTACTACTTCTATAAAATGACACTTTCCCTATCTTATTGGCAGACCAGCTAGCCGATGTTAAGAATTCGTCATGTGTGCCTAAATTAGAAGAATTAAATTATACATTAGAAGTAATTTGAACCAAATAAATTATATGTACAATTCTTAAGCAAGAAGACAGCATAAGTGACTTGCCACACTGACTGATAATGTTTTTTTTAATCGTATCCCGCAAAATATTAAAAAATTCTTTCTAATAGAAGGGAAACAGTAATGTATGAATAAAGTTTGTGGTGATATAAAGTGTTGTTATATAACACATTGAAGGATATGTTCATATAGCATTAGAGTAGACGAAGTTAACTTTTTAGTTCATTATTTATAAAAATATTCTCCGAATCATTTACTTCCTGATCTCCAGACACCAAATGAAGAAGCCAACTAGAAGAAAATACAGCAGGATGTATATATATAGTATAGTAGAGCTGCAGAAAATTGGAATCATTTCTTTTATTGTAAGCATGTTAGAAACATGAGTAATGGCTTATAATATATCTGGCTTTGAAGAATACATTTTTCAAGCTTTTCTTCGATATTAGTCATTTTTAGCCAACAACTTCTCAGAATGGAAGTCTAAATTAAAGTCTACCATAACTAATGTTTTTGTGTATATCATATTCGGATACAACTCCTTCATTATTACAGCATAACCCTTCTATAAACAATCATATTCGTAATTGCACGCGTGTATGCCTTTTCCATTATCCATTACCATTTGCAATTTTTTTGCAAAATGTCTAAAAATTTAAATTTTTAAAGTTCACTTGAATGTGGAATAAAAAACCCTTTCGTATAGTTATTAAATTATGTATTTCAGTGAAAGTTAGTTTCCCGTAACGCTTAGGTATGTACTCCAAAATAATTAATGTAAGGAGAACAAAAATAAAAACGATAAGCTTAGTCCCGTGGGTCAACAATGCCCCAAAAACAAAGAGCTGACACACAAATCCACTTCGTCACCCACGCACTGAGCTGCTTTGCAAATGTGCATCTCTTCCTTACATTATATGAAAAAAGATTCACCACGAAAATAAATGATAGAGGAAATGTCCAAGCTGCATCAAAAATCATCTGCCCCCAAGTAGAAACAGCAACATGAGCTTCCTGTGAAACCGCACTCGTACGTCTCCCTACAAATTAGCGCTGCAAACCGCAAAAAAAAAAGGCAGACACCACCCATGTGAACTTTACTTTCCTTTAAAAAAAAAACAAAACAACTACAACACAAAATGCTAAAAAAAACTTGTCCCAAAGTGAACAAATTTCTGTGTAGCGTCCGGACAGTTTTGTGTTTGTTGGTCAAAGTGCTGCGAAAATTGTGGTTGGGTTGAGTTCCAGTGGGCCGTACCACGCCTCGAAGAGACCAGCCGAGTATTCCCAAACATGCTGACATGCAAAATGGAACAACAGAAATAATGGCAAAAAAAGGATTGTGGGAAAACACCAACAAGTGGATGAAAGGTTGGTGTCGCCTCACTTCCAATTGCAGTGTGCGATGAGCTGTTTGATCTGTTGTGGGCATTATGTCGTATAATTAATTTAATCCAGTCGACAAACAGCAAGACAAATTGTTGGCCAAAAAATATGGTTGGCGGCCTGACCGCTGACCTGATGCTCCACTGAGATATCCTTTAAGAATCTACTAGGCTGAATGATTTCAAAGGCAACCTGTTTTTGGTTTTTCTATTGTTTTATAGATATTGTGGCCTAGTTTCAGTGGACTTCATCTGATATTACTTATTAGGAATCAAATCCATTCAAGGAAATTTAAATTAGAATTATTCGAATTATATTATACAAAAATATATATAAATTACTTCAATTTAGTGTGATATCAAAAATATCATATAACATCACTTGCCAGGAACTTTGCTCCTGAAAAAAAGTCCCTTTTAATCTCGCACCTGCAAGTGATTAACAAAATTTTGGTAATTCAGAACTAAATAAGTCTAACTAAATATTAATTTAATCAACTTATCAATAAAAAATTATCTTTTTTTCATAGTTTTCTTGTTAGTGTTAAAAAAATTTGAAATACAATTTTTTCTCTAACCGTAAAGACTCAAAATCTTTTAAAACTTTGATTATGATAGCATAGAAATTTAAAAAATAATAATAAAAAATAATAATAAAAATGAATAATAAAAAATACTATATATTATATATTTGTCACGCATAACCCAAATAACATGTTCTGTAGTGAAATTATCTCAAAAGTGCCATCTGCAATATAAATGATGGGGAATAGGAAGTGATAAGCAGAAGTGGTTTCTCTGTAATTTTAAAATTTGTCTTGCTAATAAGTAAGAAATTGTATTCCTAAATGATTGATGGAAGTATGTCCGAAAAAACAAATAATAAACAATTTTCCGCTTTAAACAGTTTTGCTTTTGCCTAAGGGGAATCGAAAGAATTTCGAAATTTTTTTGTTCACTTCATAATTATTGATCTCTTAGTTGTATTATATACGCAGTGTGAAGATTTATAGGCGCTTTTTTATATTATGAACGGGTATACTTGTACATACATATATTAATTAAACAAGCTTAATTTCCTAGGCGACCTAAAAAAAGCAAAAGCAATCGATTTAAAACCAAGCCACTATAGGATTTTAAATTAAACATAAAAGTTAAAGTCCATGTTTACATACTTATTTAATGAAACTATTTTTATTCAAAGGAATTTGATTTCTTTTGCTCGCTTTTAAATCAGATTGAAAAGTAAAACGATTCCAGTTTTATTTTAGCAACAATTTAAAACCGAGTCGAAATTTGAAGCGTCTAAAATGGAAATAGACATGCACGTATCCCATTCACCTGCTGGCTATAAAGGGTTGTTAACGGTGAACCTATCCAAACATACTTACATATGTATGTATGTATGTATGTAAATGCTGCAACACCTGAACAGCCCATGTGTCACTTGTTGGGCCTTTTGTAGGCCACTACGTGTCCTTAATTACGACATGACGGCAGAATGGGACGAGCCTGAGTCGACGTTTACAAAGTGTTGCCCACAAGAGAGAAGCATTACAAGTATAATGCGCTTATTTTTTATTACATATTCGTACTATTAACAAAATTTAATGCTAAGCTATGCTCATACTTGTAAGTATTGCGGAAATTTGTTTGAGTGGCTCTACAACCAGCCGGAAGGGGCTGCAGTCTTGCCATTGCCACTCAGCCAAGACTCCAGATTGGGCACGTGATTGGTGCCGGCAGTGATGGGGGCGAAGGCGGCGTCCTTTGTCAGGGTCAAATGGTGGGCTGCGCCGGCATTGCCATTGCGCGTATACTGTCCAAACTTGGCGGCCTCGTACTCCGTCTTCTGGATCTCGGCAGCAGCAGCGTGCGCCGAACGTTGGAGAGCAGCCGCCGCTTCAGCTTCTCGAGCGGCCGCAATGCGTTGCTGATGCGCCACCGCCGCCTTTGAGGCGGCCAGTCGTTGCTGAGCCAGCACCACCGACTGTGCCGCCGACGCTGCCTCAGAGCGTTGAATGGCAGCGGCCGCTTCCGACTTTTGGGTCAGAATGGCGGCATGAGTCTCCTTCTCCATGGCGATCCGCTGCTGGTTCAGCACATTCTCCTTGGCCGCCTGCATCTGTTGCTGGGCAATCAGCACATTGGCCGACGCTTGTTTAGCGGCTGAGATTGCGTTGGCCACCTCGTTAGGTGAGGGCACACCGCCAAGTGAACTGTGGCCCCCACTCCAGCCAGCAGAGGGATTCCAGCCATTGCCACTCCAGCCTGCCACGTTCCAGCCGCCGCTAATGGCGGGCAAACGCGTGCCACTCGCAATGGTCCAGGGACCCGAGGCAATGGCATTCGAGATGCTGGCATCGGAGAGGCTAAGACTGCGCTTTGGCAGCGCCTTATCGGCTGCGGCACTGCAGCCAGCTGCCAACAGAAGCAGCAACAGTTGGGGAGCTGTGAAGGTGGAGCTTTGCATCATATTGGCTTTGTTCGATGGGCTGATTGGTCTTTACTGAACGCTTCTGCTGGACTCTTCGCTATTTATAGCTCAGCTTGTGATCTGTCGGCGCTTTGGGTCAATTGCGACTACAGCTGTAATTGCTCACGTAGGAGGCCGGGGTGTCAGCAATTTGGGCGCTTTCGCTGACCAGTGACTTCAGAAGTGAATCTACGATTGGCCCCTTTTCATTAACAGGAAATGAAAGGCTGTTTGCTGCCTGTTGCAATCACCATTTGGCCCAAATTTTGAATTGGTTCATAATTTAGTAGCAGTAGCAGTTGCAATTGCATTTTATTTTTATGTAACCAAAGAGCATGGCAATGGGCCGCCAATGAAAATAAGTATATTTTTAATGCGGTTACGGGTTGGGGGGGGGGGGGGGGAAAGAAAAACAAAAACAAAAGATACCTTTGTCCCAGAACATGTTATGAAAAAGTAAAATTTAATTATTACAACATGAGAGACGCGCAATTTACGTGTCCAAAGGAATTACTCCCCGGCGAGGGCTGTTCCTAAAGGGTTCCATTGTATTCTGCCACCGGCGCTGACGAACTCTTCGAAACACCCATCACCCATCACCCACCACTCAACACCACGTATGGTAATTGCCATTAATGCTCGTTGGCGAACACAAAATGCACAACGTTTTCCTTTTTCAAATTTATTAATGAATACGAAATGAATGCGGCATCGCTGCTGTCAGCCAACATGATGGCAGTGGAGCCAACAGGCCTTCAATATATTTTTTCTAGAACACAACAATACAGATGCGCATCAAAAGCAAATATTTATGGTTGATTTTAGTGCAGTGCTCACTTAATTAGCATCTCTAAAGGTAATACTGTACTTATGTTTTAAACTCAAACTGTACAGCACTCTTACAAGTTTACATTATCGCCCCCTTTCCCAGACGCAAAATCGTTATCCTTTATTCAGCAGAACTTTAAAGATGTACAGTTTAAAGAGGCATATTGGAAGTACAGTATTTACAGAAATGTTAACCAAGAGAGAGAGAGAAAAAATCAAAACCAATATAAAGTTAAATAATAGTATATGAGTATATTATCAGTAGGTTACTTTTTACATTCGAAAAAGTCAAGCAGTTCAGTTACATAATACCAGACTGAAACCAAAGCAAGAAAACAATGAGAAAAAAGCACACAAAATCGTAAAAATTTTGTGAAAAAGTAAATTCAAAATACATTTGTGCATTTTTTTATTTTATGATGCAGGTCTTTATTCATTTATGTTGATCAATTATTTTTCCATGTTTACATAGTAATTTCTTTATGATATATACTGTGAGTCATACCTTTCGCAATAATTCAATACTTGACGTTGACTATGAAATAATTTAGTTAAAGAAGTGTGATTGACACTGTTGGATAAAATACTACATCAGTTTTTATGAAGATGAATTTTCTGTGAAGGGAAATTGATAATTTGATAGTAATCATAAAAATAAATAGCGCCAATGTCATGAATAATTTTAACTTATTCAAAATGTTGTATATTTATTATTTACTTAAGATGCTGGCAAAGAGTTCCGTTTTACACTTTGGTTCCACATTTTTTTCCTGTCTTACCTGTCATTGTTACTAGAAGCATTTCGATAAAATTAAGCCTTTTTGGGAGCTGGTTAAAAGTTTTGAGAGCGCCATTAAGTAAGAATGTAAAATAGCGAACATTCACTGAACTGTTTAGAATCTAAATTTTAGATTGGTTGCACTTTTTAATACATAGTATGTCTTATCATTATGATACAGCTATAGACAATATGTGAGCTTACTTAATAAGACTAACGGTACTTCCACAAGCTCATCTCAAATTATAGTATCTATACACACGTATACGTGTATGTATCTGTTTTATTTTTATTTTTCTCAAAATACAAAGGACAAAAGCATGGCGAGTTTTGAAAGTATGTATTATTTTAAAAGTGTCTTATAATTATGGTAAGCTCCTTATTAGAAAAGGTAGGCTAAAAATCTATAAATGTTTGATTTAATTAATCAAAATTTTACTTTATATAATAAATTTGTGCAATTTTAGAATTGATTTCTATTCGAAATGTTTTAAAAGAAAAGTCCTTCATAATTACTTGGAAAATTTTTGCAAATTTTTTGATATATGAAGATCAAAAATAAACCCTTACACTAGGAGTATAATTGGGAATACAATTGTCCTTATAGCCCAACGTAAAGTGCACAGCAAGTTGCGAAGGACAAATTGCACGGACTATGGGGTCACGCGTATGGCGTTGGGCTTCTGCTGCGATTACATGTTGCAGGCCGTTTGAGTCATCAGCGCTTTATGAGCGGAACGCCCGGTCCACCCAATTCTTGATTTGATGTTATTCGCATTTACTTTTTAATGGCCACTCTCCAAGATAGCGCCCACTGAAAGATGGCACTTGCTTTTCCGTTTTTGTTTTATTGCAGCGCTCCCGAATCTGTGGCACAACATCATAATGCTAAGGCTGAGGGACACACGGCCATCCGTTATGGGTATTTTATTGTTCGCTGCCTGCGCTGTGGTGGCGCAGAGCATGCTCGCCGTGGCAATGGCTGCGGATCAGGCATACGCCGATAATCCCGTCGATAAGGACAGTGGTGTGTATAATGCCCGATGGTGTGAGTTTCTTAACCCTGCCACTTCAATCGTCATTTTGCAGAGCTGGTGACGTTGCACAAGCGACCGGCTTTCTTTGTGGGCAGCCGTTACGGTCGCTCCGGTAGCAACAATGGAGCGCCCAGCAGCTCCAAGACACGACGTCTGATTATCGTGCCGCGCAACGACCGCTTCTTCCTCGGCTCCCGCTACGGCAAGCGCAGCGGCAACGAGTATTTGTCGCCGTACGAGCAGGATAGCCTGGGCCTGGGCAAGGCGAATGTGGCTGACACGGAACAACAGCGTAGTATTGCATCTGGCCGTACGGTGACGTCAGGCTTGCTGTCCTGCACCTACACAGGCCTCAGCAATTTCTATCGCTGCAATAATGCGTAAGTTGCCACCACAAGGCTATGGGATTTCACTTAACATAGCTGCACTCCTTTTCTCCTTTCGCCATGCAGCGACGACTTCAATCTCAACAATATCGTTAGTCAGCTGGTGGCTGTCGGTGGCAGGGAAGCGGCGCAGGAGGTTGCGGACGACACCAACACCAAGTAAGTCGCCGGCAGCACCAACAACAACAACAACAAAGCACCAACTGGCAACTGGCAATTGATTGACAACAACACCCTAGACTTGTAGTGGCACACGCTCCTCCGGCATTAAATACGATCCTTGTTCATTTCTAGCTGCTTTTGTTATTTCCTCGTTTGCGACTCGACTGCGTTGAGAAAATGGTATTAAAATTTTTATGGGGCTGGAAAAAGTTTTAATACGATTGATTTTGTAAATATATTACGACGTACCTACATATTATCAAATGGAACACTTATTGTGTGTGTAAATAAAATAAGAGAGCATAAATAAATTGGCAAATCGAAAATGGGAAATGGTTGAAGTTGCAACTAAAGCATTTCCTCAGCTCGGCGTTAACTTGAACAAACATTTATGATTACACTTGTACTAAAAACTTAAACACATTAAAATAACATAAATACCTATACCGTTATACACTAGTAAATATGAATTCATAAATAAATGTTCAATAAATACGGCTGGAAAAGCGACAACATTCACGAGTAGTTTCTGTTTAAAGAGGAGGAGGTGTTGTATTCCTAACTAAAGATTTACACAAGTGCACTATTACTATGTTTTCATTATTATTATTATTATTATTATTATTATTATTATTTTTTTTTTGACTGGACTTTTTGAGTTAGAATGTGCTTTTTCCAAAGAGTATTGAAACTTCTTTGCAACAAATATTTCTTTGAAGTTTTTAAAATGGATCCAGTTATAGCCCCGCTCAACCTATTTCACGAGTAGTTTATGTTTAAAGAGGAGGAGGTGTTGTATTCCTAACTAAAGATTTACAAAAATAGTATATTCTACAGATTTACTATTTTTTCCATAGAGCATTGAAACTTCCTTGCAACAAATATTTCTTTAAAGTTTTGGTTTAAGTTATAGCCCCGCTCAACCTGACTCCTTATATTCTTTATCATTTAAATATTGGAAAAAACACATACATATTTTTCTTAAAATTTATTTATCACCACATCATATAGTATAAGAAATTGATCTGAGTTACATTTTGATCAGATTGTCAAATATGCGATTTTTATTTCATATTTTGAAGGTTAAATTCGTGATTCTGAACATTATAATTGTGAAGGGAAGCACCCACTAGCAGGCCGGCTTTCTCCACTTTTCTTAATTGAAAAAAGCAAAATTACATACCGACTATACATATGTATATATATGTATAGTGAGTATGTAACTTTCCATATTTGCCTTTACTCTTGCACTGAAAATTAAATGTGAAGAAGAATTAACTTATTTTGAAAATTGCATGAAAGTATTTATATACATATATGTCCTACTTTCTGTAACATAACAATGCGAAAGCTGTGACGTGTCTTCAATTTTCCTTACAACGTCCATTACGATGCTAATGAATGTTATTATAATTGAATCATAAAAAAACGGACTAATTCAATTTTTAGTTTAATGAGTACTGCCTGTAAATTCCTATAATTAATACGAATACACCTCACATGCCTCCTTACGCAGAGCTATATACTTCGATAGAATGCACGGCACTTGTAAAGTCTCGAATGCAAAGAGAGTTTATTCCATTATTTTTTGCTATGAAGAAATTGAAGAATTCCACCAGCGAGTGGCAAGATGTGCAAAAAACGTAAGCAATTGCAGGATGTAGGAATGTACAAGTAGGTACAAAGTACTACAGGAAATTTAATTATGCTGGTAAATTGTAAAAAGTAAACATTACACTGAAGATGCGCCGTGTAATGAGCAAGAAGCGAACGACTCCATAAACGACAAATGGAAAATGGAAATATGGTAGTCGAGCATTGTTTTTGTTGCGACTAGGCTGGCATTGATTCTAATTGATGGCAACAGGCAGCGGTCGCACACTACCCAGCCGCCTTTAAAATGCAAACAACAGGTTCAGGGCCAGGCAGGTGCTGGAGTGCGCGCTAATTGCATTAAAGAGCATGGGTCGTGTATTCGAATCTGCTCCATCCCTAGCTCCAAGCTCCAAGCCCGCATCACGTCAACTTTTCGGCAACCAAGACAAAGCAGCGTGGTGATAATTTTTCATCAAGAAGCTGCTCATAGCGAGCTCTTACACTTAGTCCTTGAGCCACAGCCGCCTCCTCCAAGTAGCAAAGGCGGTCGAAAAGCACCACATTCTCGCAGAGTTTCTGGTTTAAGGAGATGCGTAAGTAAGTCGTCGCCCACTTGCTAACATAAACAAGCAAATTACCTGCATGGCTGTCTGCAAACAAGTCAGCGCCTCCGCTAAACGAGGGCCCTGTCCGTTTGCAAAGCGTGCCATTATTTCCTGGAAGTGCTGCTCATGCTTCGATTGCCAACTCAACGGCGCAGCTGTCTCTTCTAAGCGCAATTGGTAGCTCTCCTGCACATCTTCAAAGTTCAGTGCCTCTGTGAGTCTCCCTTTAGACTTCCGTCTGACCAGCAATTCATTCTCCGCCCGAAGACCCTCCGCCAGAGCACGCAGGAACATCTGCCTGCCATGGATGGCATGCTCTAGAGCACTGGTGTGCCGCCAACGTGCACTTGTCTGCTGACAGGCGAGTCGCAGAAATGGCCGGTTGAAGTGTACATTGACCGCCCCAGCCCCAGCTTCCAGTGCTCCTTTTAAGGCTGCACTCAACGGAAAGTGCACGAAACTGGCCTTGCCACGAGCATCGCTCAACGCTAGCTTGTGATAGCAGCAGGGCATGATGTGTAGACTCCGAACGTGTGGCATTTTCAAAAACAAAAGCATTGCGCTGATGCTTAGATCTGCGCACGCATGTAAGCCAATTATGGCCATTGTGCTCAAAGGCGGCTGCGGTGGCGGCGCCGCCTTTAACAGCCCCGCCACGTGCTGCTCAATGAGGGCACGTGAGTCCGCGCCGATGTATGCTTGCTGGTAACTAATTGCGTTTGTGGCGGCTTGTGGCAACAGTTGACGGCAACGTTGACGAGCCGCCTCCACCCGCTTCTCGTCCGCCTCCAGACCCAGTATGCGATAGTTGGGGCTAAGTTCATACAGCGCCTCGCTTAGGTAGCCAAGGCCAGAGCCCAAATCCAGCAGCACAGCCGACCCCGAGCAATAGGCGTCTATGTGAGCTGCAAGTTTGTCGATTTCATGTTGCTTTTTCGGCGACATACGAACCCGACGCTTTTGATGTCCTTTATTGGTAACATGAACATCGCTTCCATTTACAGAATAGATTGAAGGTGTAAGCTCAGCAAGCTGCTGGCGAAAATGTTGCACGTGTGCGGGGCAACCGACCAGTTCCTCATGCACAAACGGAAATGTGTTCATCTGTTCATTTGGCAGTTCCAGAAAATAGTCCTTAAACTCTAAAGGCATATCGCAACTAAGCACATTTAGGACGTTTGTGTTGGACTCTCGATAAATCCAGGAGTGGGTTCCTAGGAACTTAGCTGCTGCGGCAAAGTATGCAGAGGCATTTGAAAAACTGCACGGCAGAGACATAACTGTAAATAAATATACATAAAGAAATAATAAAATATGCAATAAAATTATGAGACTAGTGTATACGTGACAACTTAAATAAAATTTAGTTTACCAATCGTTGCTTAAGTAAACACATCATATGGTGCGACAATTTACATGAAATATCAATAAATAATGAGTTTAAAGTTTTCTAAATGATTAGTTATGTTATCGTAGTAAATTAAAAATATATTTCACTATGCCATTCCTAAGACATAAACTATAATACATATGATGTAATGTAACGATTCCAATTAAACTTTTAATTATATAAAGATATTATTAATAACTTATATACTTATTAACCCAAATAATAAGTTGGTTCTCGATAACGTGTTAAAAATCGTACTTAAAAAATAAAATGGATCAAACTTGAAAATATAATTAGACTTCAAGAAAATCTTATAGAATTCAACATTGATTACGATATCGGTTAAATGGTTTAATTTTATGATGTATTAACATCTCAGATAGGTTTAGTCAGTTTATCCAACAGAACAAATTTGTAGTCTGCTGGGACTAGGATACGCTGAGAACTATCCCAATCTGTGTAAGTACTTGCACTGACCGAGGAGAATTAAAGATTCATTCATCACGTTGAAGTGGTATAGCGGAAGCCAATCTCCCAGCAAAAAGAAATACCAAAGCAAAATGATTTCAGTAAAAGGCTAAACAGAAAGATTTCTACGGTTTGGTTTTACAACTTCCCATAATCGCAACAAAAACTATAAGCAATATAAAGTTAGCTTTAAATGTATATTGGTAGACCCCAAATAGTTGTAAAATAATACTAAAGCAGAAAATAACATTTTTGCACAGCAACGGCTAGTATTGGTGATTTACCTATGTATTATATTTTAATCGCTTGCTACCGTATCTCTTCCACAATCAAGCTTAATTTTTGGTCTAGTTTCAAGAATATTGCAAAAAGGCCGCTAGGTACAATAAAAGCCATCGTAGTTTCTTCGAATTCGACTTAGAGAAACTCTGGCATTACTTATTCCTGCCTTCCCTGAAAAATTTACTTATCATAGAAGCAAACCAAGAAATCCCGTTTTTTAGATACTAATTAATAATAGTGATATTTATAATTGTTTCGGATGTCAACATACATTTAATTTATTATTATTAGCAACAATTAATCTACGCCTAGCGATCGAAAAATGAAATTAGGAAAATAATAATAATAAAATTAGCAGATATAACAACAAATCATTTTACGGTTACAGTTTATATGTATGTATATGTACATGTACAGTCAAAATTTAAACACACCGACAACTACACTTAGGCTATAATTTTCCACTTTTGTTTTGTCTCCTGCTCGAGTTTCTCGTTGGCCGGCCCGAGAATACACTTGCCGTAGTGTTTGGGCTGCTCCTTGAAGTACTTATCGATGACGGAGCGCAATTCCTCCACGGTTACGGAGAGCATTCGGGAACGGTATTTAACGAACATCTCTTGGGACACCTCATAGAGGAAATAGTCTATGCCTATGTTTCCAGGTGCAATCGGCGAGTCCAGCTGCTGTAGTACACCAAGTTTTGCCTCGAAGAGCGTCTGCTGATCCAGCTTATCGTTTTCAGCCTGCAGCCATTCGTAGGTATTGTCAAATGCCGCCAGAGTTTTGATCGAGTGTGGATCTCTGTAGCTATAAAAACTGAAGATGCCATCGGAGCTAATCTTGGCACCTGCGCCATAAGCCCCATTTTGCTCGCGCACCACCGGTAATAGATATTTTGCCGACACAAGCTTCGCCAGGACACGTAGTGTGGGATGGTCGTGGTGGAGGTAAGGAACCGCAAAGAACGCCTTTGCACAATAGTTGACGGGTATGTTCATAATATAATGCTGGCAGCTAGGCTCGAGCAATTGCAGCTCATTGCTGCTTTTGGTCTTTTCCTGCGCCGGCAAGCTGTCGAGGAAGCTTTTATAGTGTTGCACGGCCGTGGGTTGATAGGACTCAGAACTATTTATGGCAGCGCGCATGTTTGTCTTGTTGAAGACCTTCCTGCCAATTGCCTTTAGCTTATCGCATATCTCGGCGGTGCCATTTTGCTTTACAAACGTCTTCATGAAGTCTATGTGGTCAACACCGGAAAGCATGGACTTTAATTTGGCCGCATCCGTTACTAGCGCTGAAGAGCTGAGCATGGCATACAAATGCCCAGAACTAGCAATACCCACAGATATGTTCGAAATATAATTCTCAATGAGCATCTTTAACCGGTCGATATCATCGAGCTTGAAGTTGAGGAGCAGCTCTTGACACAGCGCGAACATGTCCGGCACATTCTTGTCTAGGGCATGGGTGGTCATCATCAAGCCTAGGCGGTAGCTTTTGGCATCATAAATATTTTCAACAAAGTTCAGTTTGAAGTCAATGCCGGCTGTTTTCGAGAGCACTAGTTTATCAAACTCCCGATAGTCATGCTCCTCGGTGCCCATATCGTTGATAACGTTGCAGAACAAAGGCACCAACATTACCTCATCCCGACTTAGACCCGTGATGTTGAACAGACACTTCAGGTATGTGATTTCGTTAGTGGGCACCTTACAGACCTGGGTGGGTACTTCCTGGATGGTTGTAGTGCTTATTTTCGGCCACTTGGGTGGCTCCTTGACATCGCTTATTGTTAGACAAGGCAATAGATCCGTATTGGGCACGGCCTTTTGTGACGCCTCCAGTTTTAGGCCGTTCTGATAGATTTCCTCTGACTGCTGCTTATCGAGCGCATTTATTTTTTGTTTTAGCATTTCCGCCTCAGCCTGCTTGAAGTTTTCCTCATACAGTTCGTCGGGCGACATTGTCAGTGTTAGCCTGTGCGTGTTGTTTGCAAAATAGCGCATCATCTTCTCCTGAAGATAATGCCTGTTACGCGTTAGGTTGGCACGCAATCGCGCGATCATCTCTGATACACGTAAATTACTCACAACGTCACCATCGTGATTCCACAGCGCTGTGGAGTTAAAGAGCAGTGCGTTGCCAAAGTGTGGGCTTTGATGTTTTAGCGACAACTCCAGATTGTGCAGAATACTCTCCACATGACCCTGCTCAAAGCCATTTTCTATTGTTTTGCACACGGTCCGGTCAAATAGCTCACTAACCCTTTTAAAGTCTTCCACACGCAAGTCCTGTAGTCCCACCACGAACGCCGTATCCTTGCAATCCGCAGAATAACCAGTGCTTTGATTGTATCCGCCAGAAAAGTTTGGCTCTATCAGACTTTTATAAAAGGCGGAGTTAGGTCCGCGAATTAACACCTCGGAGAGTACATTGAGCTCAAAGCTCTCTTGTATGTCCGTCATGTCGCACATTAGCAAGGCAATTGCAATTTGGTTTTGCCGGTCGAAGGCAGCGCCCATGTTATCTAAACGACTGGAAATGTGAACATTGCGAGGCTCAGACCATCGTGGTTGCCCTGGAATTCGGCTGTAGGAATTGTCTATGCACTCGTACTGATTCAAGTATTTCTTGTTGACAAATGCCAGCGTCTTATTTACGTCGAACGAGCCATAGCAATAAATTCTAGCATTGCTCGGATGATAGTATTTACGGTGGAACTCGACCAGATCTGTGTGTGTTAACTTCGGTATCTCTAGCGGATTGCCGCCCGATACATGTCCGTACGTGTGATTGGGTAGCATGTTGTTGAGTAAATTCTGTCCAAACACTTGTGAGTTTTCGGAAAAGGCGCCCTTCATCTCATTGTAGACAACACCCTTTATCACGAGCTCAGATTCGCGGTTGCGCAAATCACTGTATTCAAGCCGCCAGCCCTCCTGCAGAAAGTCGAGGTAATCCAAATTCGGCCTGAGGTACAAGAACAGATTAGCCATGTGTATACTAAGATCACTGCTGTAAATAACTTACCTAAAAACAGCATCCAAATAAATTCGCTGCAGGTTTCTAAAGTCCACCTCGTTCATTGTCGAAAAAGGATATAGAGTATAGTCTGGACCAGTCATGGCGTTCATGAACGTGGCAACGGAGCGGTTTAACATTTTGAAGAATGGATCCCGCACCGGAAACTTCTTGGATCCGCACAGTGCTAGATGCTCCAGAATATGAGGAAGTCCGGTGGAGTCAAAGGGAGTTGTGCGGAAATTAATCGAGAAAACGTTATTGGTATCTTTACGATCGAGATACCAGAACTCCGTTCCAGTTCCTTCATGCCTCAGGGTGTAAGAGGTAAGTTCAAAGTCCGGAATATATTCTACTCGCTCGCATTGAAAGCCTTCGTATACCATGCCTTCATTCAATTTTTGCTCACGCTGCGATATCATATGAGGGATTTTTAGCTGCCCAGCCGCTGGAGCGTTTTTCGGCTTGGGCACACTGAGTACCTTCTCGAAGGCCGACACATTCTTACAAGTTCGTTTCACCATTTGGGAGCATAGCATGTTGGCCGGGCGCGGCGCTGCTCGCAACCATTTTAGATGGGTCAGCATTTTCTATCACTTCGCCCTTTCGCAAGTTGGTCTACAAATGAGAAAGTCTACAAATAAGAAAAGCACACAAGTCAACGAGTAGAGCCCAGAGCATCGGAGTGGATGCAATCCCAGCGCCAACTTTACAAATCGAATCACAAGCACGCGCGAGATTACATCAGCAGTTCGCAGCCGGCTGCCAATGTATTTATGTTAGTAAATGTTATTCATAAGAAATATTTAACAATTTTAACTTTTCCGAGGAGCAAAATGACTAGATATCCAAATGACTCGATTGAAATGTAGCAATTGGCGCAGTTTTCATTTAACTTACCGATCGAAGTTATTTTTATTGCAGTGCACATGCACTCGAGTCGATGATGGGAAACCAACTGCTGGTCTGGCAACTCTGGTGGCGGTATATATGTAGTTATCGTAAATTTGCGTGGTATTTTTTGCAAAGTGTTGCCATACTATTTTGGAACCTTATGAAATCGAAGCTATTTGTTTATTTTGAGATTTGGTGTGTACATACATATGTATATATATATATATATGAAAGTAATTAATTGAAGGAGCATCGTTAAGTGAACTCAACTGAATATGAGTGATGATCCAGACTACGAGGGACCGCCCACAACAAGACGAAATCTGCGCCAGCGCCCTCAGCGAAAAACCGGCGAAACACACGATGATGGAATGGAAGAAAAGACAAAGCGAAAAGTGAAGAGAAAAGGCTATTACTATGGGAAAGCCACCGCATATGATGACTGTGGCAATATTCGTCACAATGGATTAGATGTATGCGATTGTATGAACGCAAACTGTGTAGGATGCTGGAACGAGTGCCCCAACTGTGGCTCAACCAGATGTGGTCCGCATTGTCGTGTAAATCGGAAATTCTACTACGACAGTATCATACACGATGGGAAGGATCTGGTCATAACTAATAAGCAATTTCCTAAATAGACCTGAATACGCTATATAATAAGTACATGTATATTTAATTCGTAAATCATTAATGATCATTTTTGAGGGATATTCAAATGTTAAATCGAATGTATTGGAGATGAACTCGGAAACACATAATTATGTTAAATTATTGTCTCTAAATATAAGACTCTAAACCAGAGAAAGAACGTGTTTTTAATTAGGAACAGAAATTTTAAATTATCTTTGTTTCTATAATAACAAACAATTTATTGTCCGCATTCTATAAAAATTGTTGCTCTACCACCAGCATACAAAATACAAGGCGGAAGGCAATCTATGTACATACACATGTATGTATACAAAACTTTGAGAGTCGGCGCTCTTATTATTAAATTCAGTTTAAAACGAATTGCATTGTGTGTCTGACGTACCGGATTTAGCGCTGCAATGTATTTCGTAATATTTTTAATCATCATAGCAATATTAGCTATTTACGCTATACGCTTGAACAGAGACTATGACCTTCTGTCGTTTAGTCCACGCTTCAAAACCGTTGACGGCTCACCCATTGAAACGGTCGTGGCCTATGGAAAGCCCATCACAATATTTGGGAATACGTTTGATACTATCGGAATGAATTCTGGTGAGAAAAATAAGCGGTCCAATTCGTATTTATTCCTCTTAACTATGACCCATAGAGAAATTGTTTTATTATTCTCGCAATTATGCGAAGGATCTGAAACGAAGCTATATACAGTACGAGTTTGGGTGTCCGGTCTATAATATAATCGATGCTGTTGATGTAGAACTGGTCCTAAGTCATAGCAACCTAATTCGAAAGGGTGAAATGTATCAATTTCTGGAGCCGTTTCTTAAAAATGGACTACTCACTAGCACAGGTATATACATAACTATATCTAATCATTTAGAGCAAAATTAGGCGTAATAATTGGCCATCATTTGATATGCATTCTACACATACTTTTGCAATTTATTATTGTTAACTTACTTGCAGGCGAACATTGGCAAAGCCGTCGGAAATTGCTAACGCCAGCCTTTCATTTTAAAATACTGGAACAATTTCAAGAGGTTTTTAAGTAAGCTAAAAATAAAAAAATACTATATGCATCTGTGCATAAGCTAAAAGTTTGACTTTTTTGCAGACAGGAAAGCCTGAAGTTTGTTCTCAATTTGCAAGAACTAGCTGATGAGACAGTGGGTCCTTGTGAGATTAATTTGAACGACCTTATACCCCGATTCACCCTAAACACACTTTGTGGTAAGCTTTTATAAAGTAATGGTAAAATCAATAAAAATCTAAATTTACACATACAGAAACCGCACTCGGGGTAAAGCTCGACGATTGCTCGGATGGTGATGAGTATCGTAAGAACATAGCTTTGGCAGAGCATAGTTTCATAAAACGCGTAATCAATCCAATTATGATCAGCGATACCATTTACAACCACTTCGGCGATGGACCCAAGGATGTGAAAACGCTGAAGAGCCTGCATGAATTTTCAAGTAATATAATTCAGAAGCGTCGTGAGAACTTCGATGAAAGCGCAACAAGAGCGTCACAGTCGGAAAGTGTCAGGTGAGAGTTTATTCTATGATACTAGGTTAGCTTGGGTAGAGGTTATATGTGCCAAAATAAATTAAAATTAAAATAATAATGCTTTAATTTGAGCTTTTATATTACATTTTCGTAGATATAATAGAACTTTAAATGTACAATTCGCCATTGCATATAAATGTAGTGTTCCCGTAAAATAATTTAAATATGGTTAACGTTGATGAACGTATATACTTTGGGCAAATAAGATCTATAGTGATACCGCAATGATTTTTTTCCCTTTCAAAACTTAAATAAGCTATCCAGTTAGTCTAATAGTACTTCAGTACTTCACAGCCAATTAGCTGTTACTTGTAGATCAAATTAAAAATCTATTTTGTTCCCCCATCTTTCAAATATATCAAAAATAGTTTTTTAAGACCTTACCATTCGTATTCGTGCCAATATTCCGGATCTAGACCGACAAAAAAAAAACCCTGCAGCCACATTTCTAACTTAGTAGGTTAGATTAGTCTTCTAAGTCACAAATATTGAGATTTGAAGCTGCTATAAAGTACACGCACGTACTTACATATGTATTTCAAAATATTCTCAAGTTGAGAAGTTGAGAATCTCAACATATTAATCTTCATGGTAATGGTATAAACCATTTTGTGTTTAATATTTTAAACCGTTTTTCGAATTGCACTTTTTTATCAATCAGAGTATTATTCGAATTATAACATTGATCTTATCAATTGCTATATATAGCTACGTTGAACTTCTTAATAGTGCGTTATTAATTTAAAAAACAATTATTTCTCTCTTTCAATCGATGTCTTTAATAAACAAGTCTCCATTTTTATTTTAAGCAGGAAATAAATGACCAAAATAAGTGGTTCTAAGCATGTACAATTAGGATAAATACAAATAAGTTGTGGTCTTTCCAAAGTATATAGAGACTATCCTCCTGTGGTGCCGGCCAAATAAATATCCATTGCCTCCTTGTTCAAGTGCACAAATTGGCGTCTTTTGGGAATGGGCTGTATGTGGGGAAGACGTGTGCCATTCACTGCATTCAGACTTAGCATTGAGTCGTCATCGTCGTCGTCGTTATTAGGCTGAGGATCGTTGGTCGGTTGCGAAGAGTCCGAATGTGTTGATTCTGTACGCTTTCGTTTGGCCGCCGCCGTAGTGGGCCCGCTTTCTTGAGATAAGCTCGCCCCACTGGAGGATGAGGAGGTGGCGCTTACGTCCGTAAGTGAATTGGTGTTACGTTCGTCTCTATTCATTTGTCTGATACGTTCTCTGATTCGGTTTTGTTTGAAACGATATATTTTCTCCAACAATTCATAACAACTGAGACATATGAGAGTAGAGTGCATTAGCTCTGGATTCCATCTCTTCGCAAATGCCAGCATTCCCATAGATGCGATTCTTTTAGATGGTTCCTGAAGCGTGTGATTCCCCATACCACAGTAGAGTCGCGGTCTAGCTCTCTGGCCTTGTGGCGACGGCATCTTTTGTTATTGTAATGCAGTCGCTTGTGGAATTAAATGAATTATGACAATTACACTAGTTATAGACGAGTTTATTTGCACCGCTTGCTAAGACCAAATAATACATTAATAGAAACTCTGTATTGTGTTTTATCAAAAATGTTTAACAGAAAACCCTCATTTTCGACTTTTAACACCATTTGTTCTTGTCTTTACTACAATTATACTTGATTTCTTTGCGTATATTTTTAAATCCTAAAAAAAGTATTTTCCGCGATTATGCCGTGAATAATCAGAGACTTCAAATGATCAGCACGATAGCTATTTGAATAGCTTGTTTGCCAATCGACACCAGTTTGGATAGTTCAGCGAGATAATCCCCTCGAATCTCGGGTAAACTATTCGAAGTAATATTCTATTAAATATATTTCCAACTTTTATAGTGCGCATAACATGAAGCAACGCTACGCCATGCTGGATACTCTGTTATTGGCCGAAGCGGACGGAAATATCGATCACGCAGGCATATGTGAAGAGGTGGACACATTCATGTTCGAAGGATTCGATACGACATCCATGAATCTGATACATGCTCTTACCTATCTGGCAAACAATCCAGTAAAGCAGCAACGTTGCTTCGACGAGATAAACGAAATTATAGATGGTACTCGTAACTAGATCTTAATATTTATTTTAAATGTATTGGTTATACGTGAATTTTTTCATAGATGATCTGAGTAACTTGGATAGCCGCACCTTTGGGCAGTTACGGTATCTGGAGTGTGTAATCAAGGAAACCCAACGGCTTTGCCCTTCAGTACCCGGCATTATGCGCCAGTGTCAAGAAACAACCGTTCTATCCAACCTAGTGCTACCAAAGGGAACACAAATAATCATCCACATATTTGATATTCATCGGAATCCTAAGTATTGGAGTGATCCAGATGAATTTGTACCCGAACGCTTCCTTCCCGAAAACTCTATGGAGCGACATCCGTTTGCCTTTATACCATTCAGCGCCGGGCGTCGTAACTGCATTGGTAAAAAAAATATACTTAAAGTGTTCACTCTCAATTCATAAATATTCAAATTTGTTCTCTCCTTAGGTCAGAAATTTGCAATGGCCGAAATGAAAACTTTATTGGTTCATGTTTTAAAAAACTTTGAATTGTTGCCCGTGACCGATCCAAAGAACTACCGCTTCCTAGCCGGTTTATTGATACGCACCAAAAATGAAGTCTTTGTAAAAATTGCCAAACGCCAGAAGTTGAATAAGTGACATCAACAGCCGGCATGGACGTAGGGAGGGGGTGCAAAGCGGTCAGCTGCCCCCCCCCCCCCCTAAATTCTGAACGGAAAAAAAATTGTGCAGACAAATTTGAATTTGTGCCTCATTGTTTAAAAATCACGAAAAAAAACATCCATTTTATGGCTACGGTTAATTTATCAGCTAGATTCCTGTGAAGACATAATGTTGAGAATATATACCTATATATATATGGGCATGAAAATATTGTGTTATGTATGTACAGTATGTACACGTATGTACTTGTATATACGAGTATATAAAAATTTATCATTTATGTAAGAAAACATGGACTAAATCCTGGCTACGCCCATAAATTATACTTTATATAAAAATTATTATTAAAAATAAAAAATTCAAATTAAATATCACATGACAGGTTTTGTATTCATAGTTATTAGAGCTTAAACGTTCTCAACACTTATCATACTTAGAAATGGACTGACGAACAGGCAATGAAAAATATCTGAATACACTCGCACAAATCTAGTACCCCTTTGGGTCCTTTTTCGAACAATGAACAATGCGTTTTTGTTTGCTTTCTCAATAAGTTTTAGTTTCCATGTAATGAACGTTATTAAATTTCGTTTCCATTGATATTTCAATCTCATATATCAGAAGGATAGTTGAATTAACGTAGTAGTTTTGAACATTTGAAGGGTGTGCACAGTTATTTAGCTGTTAAGCCTATCCGTTTTCATCAAATAATTACATATTCAATTTAAAATTATTTATAAACTCATTAGTTTATGCAATGTCTAACGACATTTGTATAATTCTAAGTTTTATTAAAACGTTGACTATTAGTGTGTAACTTGTGATAAGCAATATGCAATTCATGCTTGACAAGTCTAAAATATATATTTTTCGCAATTCATGATGATCGAATTGAATTTGAATGCACTCATATATACTATTCATACTGTATCATTCATCATATATTCTGATTTAATTATATATTCATTCATTAAATCTTTTTAATTGTTAAAAATTAACTTGCTTCGTAGTCAAGTACATTTGGTGAAATAGAGAGCTCAATTATTTTTAAAACCGGCTGCTATTAAGTTAATCATCTGTATAGACATTAGACATTAGACACTGTTGGAAATATAAACACAACGCTGGTGTGATTAAGAACATCAGAAATAGACCCGGCAAACACAATCTTATCTGACAGCCGTTTGTTTAATAAACTCAAGATAGTGGCTGGCATAAAGCTAGACCTGGGCCACAGTACATATTTGCGCGCTTGATATCATAGTCTAGGGCCAACTACTTTGAGGACCGGTTCGTAAAAGCTTCCGAGGCAACAAAAATGTTATTTTGGTTGATTTTCATCGCAGCCCTTTTGGCCCACTGGCTCTACAGAGTCAACAAGGATTACTATGTTTTGGCCTTCTTTGCTCGCCGCGTGCGCACCAAGAACGGCGCACCTTTAGAAAGTATTGTACCTATAGCTAAGGCCAGACAATCTTTGGGAATGCATTCGATTTGTATGGCAAGGATGCGGGTAAGCAAATGATATCTATCTAACCGGAAGGACACTCAAATCTATTTAAAATTTATTTATGAAACAAAGTTTTGTGCATATTTATCTCCTGTCTCAACTTAAGAACTCTAGAGTATAAGAGTTTCAATGTATTCCTAATTAATTCAATTTCTACAGTTGGCGTCTTCGATCACTCACGTCATCTGGCCAAGGAAATTGGGGAGAGTTACTTACAGTATGGGTTGGGCACGCCAGTTTATAATGTGATTGATGCAGAAAATATGGAACTGATTCTCAATGATCAGAATCTTATAACCAAAGGATTGGTATATGAGTTCCTTAAGCCGGCCCTGCACACTGGACTGTTAATATCAACGGGTACTATAATTTGCACTATCGTGTGGGATTACAGCTTAACTAATTGGCTTGATTATATATGTTTGTTTGTATTTACTCGTTTAGATAAGAAATGGCATTCGCGCCGACTTTCCATTTTAATATACTGGAACAATTTCAGGATGTCTTCAGGTTTACAATTCTCAAGATGCTTGTGAAATTTAAATATTTATCTATAGCATTGTAGATCGGAGAGTTTGAAATTTGTGCGTCCATTACAAGACCAGACAGAAACTGTTATATCCCTCAGTGAACTCATTCCCAGATTTACTTTGAACAGCATTTGTGGTGAGTCCGTACGCATAGATGTCGAACTATTTAAACATCCAATTGTTTATTTCGCAGAGACTGCAATGGGCGTTAAACTGGATGATATGGCTGAGAAGGGTGATCGCTATCGTGACAGTTTTAACATGATTGAGAAATGCTTTATCAAGCGCGTGAGTAACCCGCTGTATTGGTTCGACAGTATCTATAAAATGCTCGTCGAAAGCGAGTATGCAGCCCATTTCAAAGTCGTGAACGACTTCTCAAGCGATATAGTGGCGAAGCGCCGCAAGTTATTTGAGATAGAGCTAAGCGAGAGACGCAGCACCCAAACAGCAGACGATGACATGTAAGTTTCCTAAATCCATTGAAACAACAAGAATTTTTTACTTGAAACCAGAGTATGGCAAGCTCGAAAGCTCTTATATTAAGTACAAAAATACTTTTAAAGAAACAAGCTTGCAAACAAATCAAGAACTTCAAAATCGTATTTATAGCAATCTCCTGCAGAAAACCACTTGAGAATTATAATGCAAAGAAACAAAAAGACGGAAAGAATAATACTTATATTCGTTATTAATCTGTCCTTCTTTAAAGTAGATTTTTAGTATTTTGTAGTACCTATAAAATAAGAAACAGTATCTATTGATGTTCCTGTATATTAAATATATATTCTTGATCAGCTTGACAAGACGAGTCGATCTATGTCTGTCCATCTGTACGTCCGTATGAACCCCTGGATCTCAGAGACTATAAGAGATAGAGACACCAAATTTTGCACAAAGATGCCTTATGTGTGTACGCTATACGAGTTTGTTTTATTTTTGTTTTGATTTCTCTTTTCAGTTTTCTTAAAAGAAAGCAACGCTTTGCCATGCTGGATACACTTATTTGTGCCGAGAAGGACGGTCTTATAGATCATGGTGGTATTTGTGAAGAAGTCGACACACTGATGTTCGAGGGCTTTGATACCACATCGATGGGTCTAATCTTTGGTCTTATGAACATGTCTTTATATGCCGATAAGCAGGAACTTTGCTTCCAAGAAATAGACGAATTCATAGATGGTATGCTTTGTAAGTAATATTTGTGAGTACGACTATACACATTTTTGTCTCCATTCCAGACGATCTGAGCACATTGGACATCAATCAGCTGCAAAAACTCAACTACCTATCCTGTTTCGTTAAGGAAACCATGCGCATGTTTCCTTCGGTTCCAGTAATCACCCGAAAAACCGTGCGTGAGACCGAACTGGGCAATGGACTGATATTGCCAGCAAATGCGCAAATAATTTTACAAATATTTGATTTGCATTACAATCCAAAGTATTGGGATGAGCCGGAGAAATTCGAACCGGAACGCTTTTTGCCCGAAAACGCAAAGAAACGACACACCTATGCTTATGTGCCGTTTAGTGCCGGACAACGCAATTGCATCGGTAATTGATATATTGAGAAATTTAGCCACAATTGTACAATGATTTTATCGTTTTAGGCCAGAAATATGCTATGCTGGAAATGAAAACCCTATTGGTGGTAATTTTGAAGCACTTCAAAGTGTTGCCGCTGGAGGAAGCCCAGAATGTAGGCTTCCACGCGGGCATTACGCTTCGTTCTCAGCAGAACATTAAGGTCAGACTAGTTAGACGGAATTAAATTTTGTTTGTATTTCTGTATGTATTTTACAATAAAAAAAAACTAGACTTCCCAGTTCATCACCCGGGAAACCCAATTTAGCAATTTCATATCGCAGTCGTACTTTTCACAATTTTTTTCCTTTTCGGCTTCTAAATAATCTCTTGCCTCTGCTTTTTTGGCATTCAACGTGCTGGAGGGGCTGCAAGTAAGTTAATGTCATTTTATTTATTTTTCCATCATTTTTTAAGCTACAATCTCACCTCAAGAGCAAATTCAGCAATTCTGCCGCGACGCTATAATGTTTGGCAAACCGCACTTTGTTTGCCTCACAAATCGCCTCCAACAGACACTTGTGTCCATTGTAGCCGTAACTGAAAAAAAATACAGCAGCATTGAAAAAGAGGATTCAGACATTCGACTTTAGCAAACTCACCCCTTCAGTGTGTGTTCTATATATTCATATATCTGCCAGCGCAGATCTGTTGGTTTCTGCAACCAATTTCGCACTTCGTTGTGGTTCAAGCCGGCATTCAAATACGTCGACTTGAACTTATATTCCGGCAAAAAAGGATTCTGTCGGTAGACACTGGCGTTGTAGGGTAGAAAGAACTCGGCCTTTAATACATGGCCCATGGTGAGCGATTCATAGGACAGATCTGCCGGTATACCAATTCCGGCTATAAGCTGCAAAGCAAAATAATAGAATTTAACAACATGTGGCCAGCAGGAATGTGGAAAAGCATGTCTTTTTAAAAATCAATATATTGAGATTATACTTGTATTCTTACCGTTATGAATTATCCTTTATTGGTCGGAAGGTCTTTTAATAAAAATTGAGAACATTTTAATTTTAACTCTCAATATTAACAAAACTTAAACCTAGTGTTTTGAAAATTCGAAGCACTTCATGATTAAAATTTCATTATTTTCTTCATTTTCAAAAGAATTTTGAATCGTTACTATGCATGACTTGAAAACGTAATATGGGGCTTGGACTGCGATACTATAAATGACTTTAAAGATACTACAAATAGGAATAGATAACACTTTATAATCATAAATATGACGAAAACCCTAACAAATTGCTTGCAAAACTCTTAAGAATAACATTGGCCCCTCAAGGTAAAAACAAATGTTTTAAAACGCTTTATATACCTCCTTTGTGATTTCTACACAACGAATATACTAAGTCAAGCAATTGACTGAAGATAATTTTTGTTACAAAGCTAAAATTTGTCGAGTCAAATCTAAATTATAACAGAAGAGAACATCAATTAGAAATGTAATCAAAAATCAACAACGAAGAGATTTCAAGCAAAGATATTTCATAATTTATATTCCATTTAATTTTTATGCATAACAAAATAAGAGCAATACAAATTTAGATGTATTTAGAAATTCAGTTGATTTGACCATATTCTATTAATAAGTATCCAACCCAAAGTTGATATGTAGACTATTCACAAATGAATGTAATCTTAGGCATTTCACATATTTAAAGTATGTTGTTAACATAAACCAAAAATATCTGCAGAGTCTTTAGGTAATTAATGTAATCAGACCAGTCCCCCGTTCCGAATTCGCGGAACTTTGGTAAATGCTGCTAATTCACAAAAACGATTGAACTCGATCGATTGATCGGCTTCAAAATTATTTTCTCGACTCTGTACAATTTGGTTAAATTCGGAAACTGGAGCAGATCTGAATACAAGTTATTTATTTATTTATTTAAGAGCTAACTTAATAATAATAAAATTATAGGCTAGCTTATTTTTTTTTCTAAGCTATGGCAACAGAGGCCTTCAGCTCCTGAATACAAGTTTCTACTGGGGATCACGAATAAAATAGCATTACCTGATAACGGGTTGGTGCCTGCCGCGGAAAAATGAGGAAACGTTTCGATCGCTGATGCTGTTCAGTGAGTCCCTGATGGCCGCATAATAGAAACAACAAAAGACAAGTCAACAAAACGCAAGGCAACCGCGGAATTCCGCTCATGTTGAACTACAAATAGCAACTGCCAGAATGTCTGCCCAGATAATCTGCTTGTCTAATTAACTGGAGTTCTTCGAAGAGACAGAGAGCTGCCAACAATTAACACCCAAGTGTAAGCGGCTCAGTGAAAATGGACCAGTGGCCATATGCCCGCAATTTCTTATGCCCAGAAGAGAAAGAGCAAAGCAGGTTTCAATTTACAATGAGATTTCAATTTCATGAACAATTACAAATTTCAACTATTATTTCAATGACGCGGTAATGTCTGCTGAGCCGGAGGCAGTATTCTTCTGCCCGGAGACAGTATTCTTCTGACCAACTCCTTTCTAAGGATTTTGTCCGGCGCTTTCTCACTGTCCAGCACATTAGGCATCTGCAGTGAAATTTACACAAATCAAAGGAAATACGTTATACTTGTACTTTAGGTATAAAAAGCTTACGTGTTCGGGTTTCAGACGGATTTGTATGCGTTTGCTTTTGGAATCCTCGTAGCAGATGTGCATGTCCACCGTGCCCTTGAATGTGACCTTGCGCTTCTTTTCGTTGCGGCACAGCTCGCGGCGTTCTTTGGCATTCAGAAAGTTGTTGAGTTCGTGGAACACACCAGCGCTGGTCTCGTTCAGACGTCGCTTGAAATCACTGTCCCGCTCAATTTTGGCCATTTTAGTTAAATCGAAAATTTAATGAACAAGTTATAAGCAATGCCGAAATTCCTAAAATTTGACTAAACAATGTATTATGACATTTTAGCCCAAGATGGATTCGAATAAAAAGTCAACAGGGCTATTCGACTATGCCAGAACAGTTGCAAAATTTATTGGCATTATTATTTTAAATCCTTAGGGTAATTACGAAAACTGTTATACTTTGTTAGACTTACAGAATGCATAGCGTAAAGATTGCTTTTGCTTAGCTGCTTAAAAGACAACACTGAACATGAACGTGAACATTTCACTTAACTGAGAACGGAACGTTGGGAATCATACAATACAATACTTCTTAAAAGAATACTTGCGGGGGATCCTAAGCGTAGTTGCAGAATACTACAATTTTAAATGGCTACTCGAAAAATAAGTAAAACACGTACGCAAAGAATACCTAAACTTAAGAGCTAAATAAGAAATCTCTTTAAAAGCTGCCACGTACACGAGATGAGGACTTACATATATATGAGTATAAACTAAAATCGCCTTTTCATACGCTCCGATGCCGCACTTAACTCCAGCACACATTGTGCAGTATATAAGTATTTTACTTGTATTAATTACTTGTGCTTGTGAAACTCCTCCATGCACAGTTTGCAGCTCCAGGATCCCTCAGGCGGCGTGACAAGCGGCGGCGACAGACAGTACATGTGATAGCCACGATCGCAATCGTCGCAGAAAAGCAGCTGATCATCGTTGTCGGATGTACCGCAAATCGAACAATACTTGCACTCGATGCACTGCCAACGATAACGCTTCACCGAAATAATCATGTTGGGTGTGAACTGCAGACATGAAGGATGACCTGAGCGACCGCAGTCGGAACAGGAGACGAGCTCCTCGGGCATATTTGTCTTCTTGTTCTCCCGCTGATCGCCTAGACAAAAGTCACAATAGGGAGACGGCTGTGCAATCTCACGTTCGCCACGCAGTTTGTTCTTCTTGGGACTAGCGACTGCTGCAACTGGCGGTGTACTAGCCGGCGCGAATATAGTCGGCGTAGTGGTGGCTGATGTGGTTGGCAACGGCATTGGCATAGCCAGATTCATGCCAGCTGCCATGGTGGCCAACGGAATTGAGTCATTGGAAGCGCCTGCATCGTTTAAAGTCTTATCGTAGGATGGAGCAAGGTTGGGCGGCATGACCAGAGCCGACTGAGAGGTTTCATCGTTAGTGGGAATCGGAGACGCTGAATTGGAGTGTGTGGCATAAATGCCTGTGGCAGCTGCCGCAGCAGCCGCTGTGCTGGCTGCATGTGCGACTGCAGCAGCTGCTGCTGCAGCCGCAGCAGAAGTGTTTGCACTATTGCTGGCTCCACGTCGTCGTCGATCTCCGGACTCGCCATCGCCGGCATTGCGTCGTCGACTGCCTGTAATTACAGCCAAACAAAAAGTTTAGGGGCATCTAAAAAATCGAATTTGTTGCTGCTTACCGCCACCTTTGCGTCCACGTTTGGGGGTGCCGTCTGCATTGGCATTGGATCGTCTTGGACGAGAGCTACGCTTCCGTTTGCCTCGACTGCTGTACGATTCGTCAAAATCGTTGTCAGACTCGAAATCGTCTTCGTAGTCATCGGCATGATGGTAGTGAGAGACATCCATTTCCTCATGGAACCATTCCTTCTCCGCATTCGCATGCGAGTCCTTGCTGTCATTGTCGCCCGAGGCGCCCATGGAGTTGCCATCTGTGGCGGCAATGACTGCAAACAAAGGCGAATAAGATTTATTGGCTCTTTCTAATGATATACATAAATCTCTAAACCCACCCACCCAGCCAAAGGCCAGTGGGGTGGTTTCCCTTAATGCGCACACACACATACACATATAAGTATTTATACAGACTCAGTCTCACAAAGCCACACATGTTTAGTGGTATTGTTATTGTTGTTGGTCCTGTTTACATTGTACTGTGGGCCAATTAGTTATTTAAAGTGCACAATAATCCATGCCAAGTTACAAAATGCCCAATTGCAACAATATATCAACGTATTTAAGCACACAATTTTAATAAGAGTGCAAGACTGCATTGAATATTAATAATTTTGAGCTGCCAATCAGCAAATTAAATGGCAGATCTAATTCATCCCACAGTGCAGTGGTGGTGGAAATGATGCGGCAGTAAAAAGCAGCAGTAGCTGCAAGATTTTTATTGATTTTGCAACGTCTTGTGCACTCGAACCCACCTGCACTCTCCGTCTGGTGATGATCTCGGGAATTGGACGTCCCCGTTGCATGATGATGGACATGATGATATTCCCGGTACTGATAGGCCCGATAGCTGTGATGCGGATTTAGCAAATACTGCCGCTTCGGCTTGCGCCAACGCGCCGATGGATACGTATAGATTTGTCCATGACGGAAGCCGGGCATTCTTTGCTTTTGTTTCATGAAAAGCGCACAGTGTGTCTGGGCGACGCCGGTCTGGGGATCGAGGAAAGGCATGCGTAGCCGCCGTTCGATGCAAAGGCGCGTGTTGAAGTTCTCACTGTTTTCAAGTATTTCCTTGTAGGCGGTATCATTGAGAAAGTTTTGGATCTTTTCGAAATTCCCAATGTTTACAACCTCGATTTCGGAAGCCATCTTGCTGGCGTCAGCGGAAGGCCAGCGCGCTCTTTGCAAACGGTGGGGTGGAGGCGCAAATTGGATGTGCAAACACTTGGTAAATTTTTCAACTATGCCCAGCCAACTCAAATACAAGAAACACACATTTTTTCGTTCGCAAACTAGTTTTTTGTGACACAAAACAAGCGGACGCAAGACACACAAGTGTAGGGTTGTCGAATACACAGCATCGCGCAATAGTACGGCAACGCCCAATGGACGCTTTAGTAGATTACAAATATAAATACATACCAGATTTGTTTTATGTAATTATTATTATTTTTCTATTCTAATTGTAGCACAAGACCTATTTTATTACTACGAAATGATAATAGTTTTACAAATACATATGTGTTTTAGTTTTAAATAAATAATTTAATTTAAATAATTGGTATTTTAGTATTTTTGCTGTTGTTTGGCCATTGTTTGGAAATGTGGTCACTCTTGCTGGGCGTGTGTTGTGAATTAGTAATATTATTTGGCTTCCACTTAACATATCCTAATTTTAAAGAATTTTGTAAATAAAAACGCCATAAAAACCAATCTGAGTTATGGGTGTGTCTAATCGCACCACTAGAATCGCCCTTGGCATATCGGCGTTTTCGTTTCTGCTTTTTGTAATAGCCTTTGCAACGCCCTACTGGCTGGTCACTGATGGGCGTATTCAGAATCCACGTTTCACCAACCTGGGCCTCTGGGAGGTGTGCTTTAATAACTTCCAGGACATCCATCGTTTCTACGACACACGTTTCAATGGCTGCATGTGGGTGTTCGAGGAGGAATACTACATAATACACGACTTTTTGTTGCCAGGATTCTACATCGCTGTGCAGCTGTTTGCGACGTTATGCTTCGTTATGTGCCTCATTGCATTGCCGATGACGCTAGCATTCTTGCGCACATCTCGCGACGATGACCGTTATGTAGTTTTGCTGCTCACCATTGGCACTTGCCAAGTGCTGGCGTCAATTTTTGGCTTCATCGCGGTAGTCACATTCGGTGCAAAAGGAGATTCGCGTGATTGGATGCCCAACTGGCAGAATAACGACATGGGCTGGTCCTTTGCATTAGGCGTAGTCGGTGCCGTTATGTTGCTGCCAGCAGGCATCCTCTATATGGTCGAAGCACGTCGCGAACGCTACAAGCGCCTCAACGAGATCAGCAACCGCGAAGTGAGCGAATATGGCGACGATTATTATCAGCATCAGGCCGCCGTGGCTGCACCATCAACATCAGCTCCACCGCAGTCGTTTTTCGCGCCCGAGTCAAGTCGTCCGCGCCGCCCACAGCCTGGACAGCGTTTGCCAACTGCCCCACCACATGGTGGCATCCAGACGGACATTTAAATTGTAGCCTTTTTCAACGCACACTCACACAAAGTATATTCAGACTTTGATATGCCGCAACATATCTGACCAACAAATCCGTCCCCAACCACGAGTTCAGCAAGTGCTCTTATTTATAAGTTGAATGTCACGACTTCTCGAATATTTTAAACGAACGAACATTCCATATTTTGTATACCCTTTTCGCGTAACTTTTGAATGTCATGTAATCGTTTTATATTTTATTTATATGTGTTGTGTATTGTCAATAGTTTTTTTACACAAATAAAAGTAAATATAATTTTATTAAGATGACCAGTTTATTTGGATTACAAAAGAGAGTCGCTGTTCATGTATCCAATACATTTTATAGTTGTGTTGAATAAATTGCAAGGCGACTTTAGGCTGATACAACAGCTTATTAAGAATATTTCCGTGAGCCCGGAAAGAATGTAACAATAAATACATATTTATAATTTCTTAAGCCAAAATGCATAAAACACAAATTTTAATTCTAGTGTGGAAAATTTGAGAATTCACCTAAAGCCTATAAATTATTGCATGTGTACAAAATTCTTCAGAACAAACTTTAACCGATTAATGACTAGATAAGTCTTTCAATCTCCACCAACAGCTTACTTATGTGCCATTTGTTGTTTTGTGTCTAACATGCGAGTCTCTTAGCCAACGTTGTGTGGAGCCCTCCTCCTCCTGCCCTCTCCCGCTATTTTCTAGCACAAGGAATAGTTCCCGCTCATTGGTCATCAACTGTTCCCGTAGAAATTGTAGCACATCAGCCTCGTTGCCAATACACTCGGGCAGCGAAAGTTTTGAGTCCAAGTTATAATAACGCTCTTCAATTCGACGCACGGCAATCCAGTGGCGCTTGCGTAATGGCAATGTTATAATTCCCAATTTGTAGTCTGAGGGTATGTTCAGTATGAAGCCCACAATGACGTCCAAATTTATGCAGGATGGATCTCTGTGTGGTAGATCCTTAATTTAAGCATTCTTTATATATTAATATGTAGTTGTCAAACTCACTTTCGCTTGTCAAACCAAACGGCCTCGCAGCTACGCAACTGAAGGGCGGTCATAATAACATTGACGTCATAGTTGCCAAGCCCTAGAACTGAACGGTGTGGATTTATCCAGACATTTGGACTGAGATTACAGCAGATTTCGTCTAGTTCCGCTTTAGTGTAGGGTTGGTGGCCTGCAGGTTAATAAAATATAAATGGATATTTATTGCTAAATAAGGTAACGTTTCCCACACATGTTAGTCAAGCTAATCAAATCGACCCATTGTCACTTCTAGGGACCCCAGCACCTCCAATTGGCCCGATACGTCACTCCAATTCGATTAGCTTTAACACCTTTAATATCAAAATTCAACTGAATAACTATAATTTTGCCTTTGTCGTTTCAGTTCCTCATTTTAAGGAGGTCAGTCATGGGCTTTCAGTTACCAGCCAGCATCCCAGAGAGCAGATTCATCTCAGAGCCCGTACATGAAAACATGCATACATACATGGCTTTAGCTGTAATACTGACCTTGGAACAGGTTGTTGAGCGCGTGCAGAGCACACAACTGCCTCGTTTGTTTTTCATGGTAAATTTTTGAAATTGGCATTATGGTAAGTAACAATGTGTCAACAAAAACAATTTATATACTTTTCTAAAGTTGCTTCAATAGTAGTGGTGTTTCTGTTTTGTTATGATTTTCATAGCCATGACAGCATGCACGTTACGACTTAAGTGGAGCCACATGCAAATATAATTTTTTACAATTTTGCACAAATTCGTGAGCGCAGTGATGCGGAAAATAAAATGTAATTTATTATAATAAATTGTGTCTGCTTAGTTCATTTTATATGAGTTATTTAATAATTATGACGGCATGCTTGACCGTGTTTGGCCTTTTTTGAGTGTGCTGTGGTATTTGTTTTGGTATTTTTTACTACATCACTTCGATTATTGCGAATGCGGCTACACTACCACCAAGTAGGAACTGTCACATGATTTTCACCTGACATTTGCGAGCATCAGCGCAGAAAATTTTTGTCAGCGAGAATTTCCAGGCAAAGTGGAAATATCCGAGTTTTAATTGGAGAAAAGGGTCGCTGCACGCGCAAAGTTATCTAGCAATATGAAAATCTGTGGTCCCAAGTTGTCGCTATGCGGTTTAATCATCTCCGTTTGGGGCATTGTACAACTGGTAAGTGTTGATTCTTTTGTGTCTGTTTCTGTGTTGTTGCTGGAGGGTCAGATAATCAGTCACAAGATACGACCTCGCGTACAATATATCTGGGCGTATGGTTAATATTTGATTTATTGTTTTTTTTTTAGGTGCTCATGGGGCTGTTTTTCTACATACATAGTGTTGCCCTGATTGAGGATTTGCCCCTAGAGGAGGAGTATCATTCCCTTGAACTCTTCTATTCTGCTGCGAACGCGGCTTACAGTCAGGTACGACCAAGTCCTCCCATATGTCTAATCTTCCAATGCTGTTAGCAAGTTGATTAATCTTTTGGCTGTTGTTTGTGTTTTTGCAGAACGCCTACAACTGCTGGATCGCTGCGTGCATTTATGTGGTGACGCTGTTGTTCTCTGCACAACAATTCTACATGAATAGCAGGGTAACTGCCAATTAAAATGTGAACTTCAGCTCCAAACTGCATGGCTACTGCGTGCAAGCGAAATGCAGAGCTACTATATACAACAACCACATGAAAAAACTGATGCATTCGTCATTAGCTCGCGCATACCACTAATAAGTATTGCAATGTTCAGTTAAAAGTTGATGAAGAAACTTGTTAAAACAATTATTACTGTAAAATATTCCCCAATGTTTTGTTGCTAAAGTTTATTTTGAATTAAATATGTACGTTTTATGTTTAAGACCAAAGTCATATATGTATGTATCGTACGTATTACAATCGGTTGTTGTCCACACGAAATCACATTCCTTGGTTGGCTTAGTCCGTGGTATATGCAGACTAGTTTGTATGTATCTATCTATCTATGTACTTCTATTTATTCGTCCTATACTGTACTCAATTTCACAGCAGCAGTTACACAAATTTCATTTATAACTCCTTGTTTTGTGTTATCTGAGTCCCAATCATTACCTTAAACAGAACAAAATGTCTAATTCTATAGCCAAACTGTGTATTCTAGTTCCATGTACATCTCTGTAAAAACAAAAACAAGAAACCAATGTATTGTATGTATGTATTCTAAATTGTATTTTAAACAATTTCAACGATAAGAAAAGATTCTTGGATTTCTCCTACTCCTCGATGAAATTATACTTTTTTATCGCTGATATTGTTGGAAATTGTCATTAAAAAAGTAAATTGTTAAATAAAACCTAGTTTCAAATTCTTTCAATAACAAATACCGCTTTGTAATAATACGTTTATAAAATAATAAACATATTAATAAGTATCAACTATGAGTACCTTCTCTATCAAATAAATGCGATAAATATAATTATTTACACCCTCGTGTCGCTGACACATCAAAGCTATTCCTTCTATAATCTATAAATGCGTCCGATGCAGCTAAGTCTGGGAAATTATTGCTTAATTTATTACCAAAGCCTCGTGCCCAGTGGCTTCTCAACTCACGTGCTTGCATTCATTTCGCTAATTATAGTAAGTATATTGCCAAATATCAAGCTTAAGCTTGGTAATATGATAAGAAATCAAAGTCACAAACCAACCATAAACATGCAGTACCAATTTAAAAAATTGGAAAAGCAAAATTTTAAAATATTTTGTTGAATGTACATACTTTTTACATAGTAGTTTTTTTTCAAACATGCAATCCTATTTATCGGCTAATTCGTATTTATCCAGTGTCGTCCATATTAAAGCAAATAAGCTAGAGTTGAAATTTAAAAATAAATTTCCGTTGTTCATCATCAAGAGGCAATGGCGGTCGCATATCGTATGGGGAGACCTTTGATTTTTATCCAACGGAGCTTTAATACAACATTTATACTCTGCATAAAAAAAGCGATGACCAACTTTTTGCTCGAAATGGGCTGCTAATGCTGGTATGGGTAATGGGAGTATTTGTGTTAGGTTTATTTTATTCAATAATATTTATTAATTGTAGGACCTGCGAAATCATAATCGTAGTGCGTTGGGCGCTCTTAAATGAAATAATCCTTTTTATGTCTATATTTGTCAGTTTATAATTCATTTTGTAAGCGGTTCGGTTATTTTATTCAAAATAATCACCTTCCGACTCAATACAACGTTTTGCATAAGAACGAGTGGGGTATACCATCGGTCGACATGACCTTTTTCATTCGTTTGACGTCATTCTTGCGCTTTCCTTTCAGGCTAATATGGGGAGTGCTTGTTGGTTAAAATGCGATTTGTTTTTCAAAACTGTTGAAATGTTTCGGTTGAACAATATATGGAACAAAGCAAGAATATTCTTTCACAGACCCAATTATTTGGTTAAGTTGTGCGATGAAGTTTTGATTTGGGGAAGTTTTTTTTTTACATTTTTATTAATTTCACTGGCTGGTTTTTGATAAATTCGAGGACTTTTTCGACTGCATCTTTGGTAATCACGGATACTTTCTGACTAAAATGTCAACCACTCGTATGTTTTCCAAGACATAAACAATTATTACAATCAACTAAAACGCTCATGAGAAGAGTAAAACCGTGCCTTTATTCGACTTTAATATTTGCTCTATGTTTGGTCTTCATTTTTGTACCAAGCCAAAGGCTTCGACGAGATGTGATTAAAGATGTACCTAACTAACCCCGTCATCCATAAATATGTGGGAGTCGCCAGAAAGGGATATTTAAAAAGAACCTTCATTTATTATTTGTTTATTTATATGATTTTCGGAATTTCATTAATACATACGATAAGCATTAATTCATACATACCCTTAGTTCAGAGGACAAGTAAAATAATTGTAATTTGTGTTTGATTATAACATTAAACATTTAATTAGGTATGTACAGTAGAGCGTGGCGATAGAAAGCGAGAGTCCTACAAACATATTTTATTTTGATAGTGTTCCCATGGATTTTATTTGTTCAACATTCCCTTTATTTTATATTCATTGACAATAAGTATAACGTTAATGTTACTTAATGGTTAAACTATAGCAATACGCATATTTATATTTAGAGTAGATCGAGCACATATAATTACTTCTCATATGCATATACTTACTTAAGTTATTGGTTTGTTTATATCTAGTTTTTTTATTCGTGGATCCAAGTTTGAATAACAATGTGATAAATACATTTTAATAGTCAAAATTGAGATTTGACTAAACTGTCACTTAACAATGCCTATAACTCTTGAAACTATTTAAATACAACACATACAGAAGCACAATTAAGTGCTGCACTATTATTTGTAACTTAAATTAATGCTGAATAAATAATTCACATTACAGACTAGACACTACAATATTCATTAAGATGTCTAAGTCTACGATTTAAAAAGTAAAATTGTGAAATAAATTAAGAACAAGAAATACTCTAAAGACCTTACAGGTGTAAACAACATCAGACGTGTTTAGAAAGCGCTGAGAAGCGGTGAGAAGTTGGAGAGGGTAAGAGATATAAACATATTTACATACATACATAAGTATATGTATGCAAATGCTTGAGAGACAACATAAAATGAATATTGGTGTATATATGTATATGTACATATAGTATATAATAGAGCTCGTAGAGCAGCTTAAGTCCATTATGCCTATGAAGCTCAAATTCTGTTATCTATAGAAGGCGATAGATTTAGTTTTGAAAGCGTGCGATTGAAAGGCGTTTGAAGCTAGTGAGTGGGGCATCAATTGGGGCATCCTTAGACTAATGCACGATGATGACCATTTATTTTAGGTTCATTCGCTCCTGATTGCGGCTCGATGATCGAGAAGATTTTCGATTGATCGATTCCAGATATGCCGCTGGGGACCAACCTTCTGCATTGGTATCTGTGAACGATCGAGTTTCAACATGAATTTCGAATATTAGTCACATTTAATGGAAATAATAATATTAGATCATGCATTAAATAAGTGGGTTGTTAAGCTATGTTTTTACAATTACCTAAAACGCGCACATACCACCAGCCGGCACAGCCCACCTTCAGGAGCTCGATGGTTTCACCTTCCCGCATCGAAACCTCCGAATGTCCCATGGCCGTATAGTCAGCTAGAGCAACGAATTTGCTGCCCTGCACCAGTATTTTGTACAAAGTGTGTGTTTGAGAGGAAGGCATTAGTAAATAAAGCAGGCATCATTTAAGTACGATTATCGTCATCCATCATTTGTATGGAATTAGAGCAACCGATCCTCTGATTTCTGAACAAATGTTAGTATTTACTTAATGCGTAAATATTGGCATTAGAACTCAAGCATTTCTCAGCCTAGGTTGCAGATTTTCTCAGATCTTATAAAGCAATTGAAAATCAACTAAATTTCGATAACAAATTAGACTAACACAAAAGGTGTGGAACATAGCGTATGTTTTTATGCGTGTGGTGTGGGTGTGTGGTTTTTGGGTGAGCGAATTTAGTTTTCTGTGGTTTGATAAAGCATTTTCTTATAGCATTTATTTATGAATGTATATACTATTAGCGCTTTAAGATAGTTCATGCAATTTTATATCAACACAGTTATACTGTCTTGTAAGTCGGACCTCTATAGAGCCCTAAAGTATTTCGTCGCGTTGCGTTCCCACTCCTTAATTCATTTTTATTTCACAAACTACAAGAATTTAATTGTTCAAGGTTTCAATGCGAGCGTTTAAAGTTGTAAAGAGTGTTGCCAGAGTTGCGAAATTTTGTACGAACTCACATATCAACAGAGGCAGAATTTCTGTTATTCTATCTGTTTAGGCACTAACCATACAACATATAGATGCGTCATTTCATAAATACATATAAACATATACATGTATATATGTGCACGCACACATACAAAGAGCATAAGCGGCGTGAACCGACCGTCTCTGTAGACTGCCTCTCTGCGAATGAAATGAAATTCGCTCACAGAGAGCACGAATGCGACAGCTCCCAGTCGGCTCATAGCCGAAGTGCGACAGCTCCCATTCGGCAAATACCCGAACAGCTATGGGAGCTGTCGCTAACAATTTCGATGGGACGTTTTCGTTGTATGAAATGACGCATCTATATGTTGTATGGTTAGTGGTTTAGGCTAACACTGTTGTGCATGCTGTTATTATATGTAGTATGTTATTGCCTCTGTAATTGAAGTTGTGAATGTTACAGTCAACAGCTATATATTTGGATAACAGAAGCAAATGCTGTTACCAATTAAGATACTATTTTTTTAAATTATTCAATTACATTATGTTTTCCTACAAAACAAAAGACTTTGTTTTGTTTGTCTTGCTCACAAACATCTTAAGATGTGAAAACGTCATGAAATTTAAAATGTTTTGCATAATAAAGATTTAAAAAAAATTTACATATTAAAAAAAATACTGTTAGCAGCTAAGTTAAAAAACTGCCGAATGAGTTACTTTGATGGTAGAATCGGAAATATATTTCTAAATGTGAATGCAATTATTGCACAAAAATCGGAAAGATACTTGTAGAGTGGTGCCAAATCTTTTGAAATATTAAAAAAAAACTTCCAACTACCAAAAAATCAGCTTAGGAGTTGTTGAGGAAACATGCTTTTATGTCTGTTTACAAGTCCGTTGCTATTTTTTTGTAATATCACTAATTAAGAACATTAATTCAAATTGTTCCAACACACCAAGCAAGGTATTATTATTATAAATTTTTTATTCAAAAACTTCGCATATCCAACAATATTTTATTATAATTATGTAACTCTTCAGTAGTGTTCTGTATTTCGTTTTCAGCCGAATTCAAACATATTTGGAATGGAAATTTGTATGTTACTTCGCTGAAAGCGGAATCCAGAATGCGAATTTTTATTTTTATTTGCTAACTAATTACCCATAAACATGTACTTTCAATAAACTTACTTATGGATGAAATGATTAACTGCAGGCCACAAAAGCGAAATGAGTTATGATTCGTCCTAGAATTTGATGATTGGAGAGTAGACGGGTGGTACGAATACAAACACATACATTTATAGAGAAGGGGGAGACGAACGAGGCGCGTGAATTTAGTTTCTCAATAACTATAGCAATCGAATACACGAATTATTTTAATAACAACAAAACAAATGAACTCGAAAGTAAGGAAACATTCCAAAATGAATTTGGTTGCAAAAGAGTGAGGACGATTCGAGTTCTTTTTTAAGTACATATATGTTCGTATACAAGTATGTATGTGCGTGCAATTACGTGATTATGAGTTAACTGAGTTTGTGTCCGGTGGAGTCCTGTGAGTGTGTTTACTGTAGGTACTGTTTACGATAAGCGCAAGCAACAATTTTCGATCTTACATCATACATGTATTTAACTAATTAAGTTTACATTTCATTTAATTTTACATTGCACATACTTTTTGTACTCAGTGTTGCTATTTACGGCCCACTTTGTCTGCCGCCACACTTCAGTGCTCAACCGAAACGTAAAATTTCGAATTCGATTTATTACTGCGCGCAAAGGAGGTGGCGGCGGTGCCACCGTCAGGATTGTACGACGCCCACTGGGCCAGGAAGTTCATAAAACGCTGCAAACACGCGCGGCAGGGCCGTGGCGTTTTGCACGCGATTTCAACGCGATTTTCCCGAGTTATAATTTAAATAAAAAAAAAAAGAAAACGGACGAAGGTTTCATATTGACGATACGAGTGGGGGAGAGGATTTCGTTTTAGTTTTTGATTCGATTTGTGTTTTGTGCATGAAAGTAAAAAAGAGAACCCAAAAATATCAAATAAGACAATAAATATAAAACGTATAAGACAATGAACTGGCGAACAAAACAGAAAATGTAACAACAAAATAGGTGGACGAATGGTAAAAATGGTGAAAAGAGAGATAAAAATAAAATATTTATGTACAAACTATATGATGAATCAAATTCAAATTAAAATGATTATGAAATGAAAATGCCGAAACCAAAACTTCGATAACGATGATGAGGATGTTAACTTAACAGTTAAAGTGAAAGATTCAATTGTGATGCTATTATTGATAGCCGTCTTTAAAGCATTCGGCTGGCACTTACCGGCGTGCTGTTGTCTTCGATCAGCGATATTTCGTCCTCGCTGTTCGAGTAATCGGAGCTCCAGCCACAGGCTTCTTGTTGCTCCTTGTCGGCGCCACTGCCTACAGTGGAACTGCTGCCACAGGCCGTGCCTGTGGGCACATTATCGTCGCTGCTGCAGTTCGAGTTTCGGTTGGAGGACTCCGACGAGGCGTCACAGCTGATGGCGCGGCTCGGCGTACCGAGAATAATGTTCGGCGTGTCCCACGAGGTCGTCTGCTTGAGGCCGCGATGATTCAAGCCATACTGTTTGATCTTCTCCCCCTTGAGCTCCTCCAGCTGGGTGAGCAGCACGCGTTTGATCTCAGCCACCCACTTGTTCTTGATGTCCAACGTGGGTGCCTGCAGTGTGTGCACCTCTTGGCGACCCTGCAGCCAGACCTCGAATCGTTTCGTATCGCCACGAACCGACTCGGTTAGCCCGATTTGCGACATCTGACGAAGAGGGCAGGACAAGTTGAAAGTGAATGCAAAGCGGGAAGTATTCATAAACTCACCTTGACGTGGTGCTTAAACTGGTAGGTGCTCTTGTTATGGCCTGGCTTTGAGGTTTGCTTGCAGAACAGCATTGATTTCTGGTACAGAAAGATGTGACGTTGCTGGGGCTTGATGCGCAGGCGTATATCCTTCTTTGACTCTGTCCACACTTGAAACGAATCCTGCAGCAGCAGTTCGCCCTGCTGCGCCAAGTCGGTCTGTGTGCGGTTCGAAGGTTAAATAAGGCGGATGTGACAACAACAAAAAAATGATGCTACTTACCGGAAAACCAGTTATGGCTACCTGGTGCATGGAGTCGTTGACACATTTGAGCACAATCAGCATACAATCGAGTGCTTTCTGCAGCTCCTTTGTGCAGCTACCGCTGTCACTAAAGCGCAGTAGATCCTTGAGTAGCAGCTGATATTTTGTAATACGCTGAACGGGTTTTAGCAAATAGGCTGCCAACGGCAGCTTGTGGCCCAGTCGCTTCTGACACTCCTGGAGAAAGAGGTGCGTATCCACAAGGGTTTCACGTAGGCGCTCCGAACGCGGTATGTTTTGACAGTAAAACGAGTAAAGCCGATAAAAAGTGTCACGCTGAAGTTGCAAAATCAAATAACTTATATTATTAGTATGTACAGTAGGGCTCTCTCAAATGCCATCAATTACCCGCTGAACAAAGCACAGTGCCACCAGTTCTGTAGTAGATATGCAGTTTTCCAGATCCTTGAGGAAAATCTCGTTGTGAAATGTGTAGAGTTCGTGCAAATTACCGAAAAGCACTTCCTCTTTCCCCTGCAGACTGGCAGGCACCAGATGCATGAGTTCCTCTGACTGCATTTGATCACAGTAGCCCTGAAACGAAGCACAAAGTGAAGCAGAGGTTAGTTCAGCTGTCTGCACAAGTCCCTAAGTGAGCTGATCCTAAATTACTTGGGAGTTTTTCTGATTGCAGAAAGCAGTCAACTCGTTGCTGATGAATTGACCAAACTTTTCCTCCACATACAGCTCAACACTGTCATATCCTTGAGCGACAACAAACTCATTGAGCACCTTCTCATATTTTGTTTGCTTGAATTTTCTGTAATTGAACTTGGGAAGCTCGTAACTCTCCTGCCCGTCGGAGAAGCTTTGCTCAAAGAACTCGTGACAGAACTTTAGAATGTCGCGGTAGGAGCTTGAGCCGCCTTTCTCGACTGTTGCGGATGATATCGGTTTCGGAGCGGTCTTCTGTGGTGGTGGTGCATTAAGATCATTTTGCCAGGAAGAGCGGCAGGTGTTGCACATGTGGCTGTGCAAACCCGGCATGAGCTTAGGTGTCTTCAAAGACTTGGGGGTTGACAACACCTTGGCATTGTTGAGAGAGCCTAAAGAGCTCTGTGCTCGCGCCACCGATGAGGAGACCGACATGAGGCTCTTCGGCTCGCTGTCCTCCAAATAGGCCAATATGTCCATGTAGTTCTTGCGCTGCAGGTAGTCCTTGAACTCAACGTCGTTTTCAATCTCCGAGTAACTGTTCGACTCCAGATAGTCCTTGACCAGTTGATATTCCAACGACTCGTCGCAACTAGAGAGCTCGATGAGTTCTTTAAAAATGGTTCGACGTTCGTCTTTCAACCTCTGCAGACTATTGTTTGCCGTTGCCCGACTCTTTTCAGAATCCTTTTCCAGCTCGCTTTCCGAGCCCTGCCCCTCTTCGTACTCCTGCAAAGTGTTGATTATCTTGATGGTGGATTTGCCATTGAGGGCATTTCGAGTGGCAAAATTGCATAGGCTGGTGCCAAAGATGTAGTTTCCGCCCAGCTGTGCTGTGGAAGGCTCAAAGGGGGGACGAAAGTCGGCAGGACGATAGCATAAGTCGCCAGCAGAGGCCTGCGACCCGAACAGTGAACCCTGGAACGAGAGCGGTGACTCGCGCTGGGTGCTCGAGCGTTCGCTTATCGGCAGATTGAAGCGTCTGAGAGAGTCGCCGAACTTTAAGCTAAATCTTCCGACAATGTTGCATGCTGTGCTCTGCACTCGTCGCAACCGAAATGAGCTCTGGGCACTCGGAGACTTGGGTTTTGAGGCTTTGCGCAGATCATAGCCACCGTAGCGCATATTTATTGACTTCGAGTCGAATTATAGGGATCGAATAGAGCGTACCGTCGCGCACAAGAAGCAAACGTTAAATGATCGCTGTTTGGCTTCAGGCTGTGGGCCACACGCTTAGAATTGGTTAACAATTATAAGCGGCGTCTTCTATTGCCTGGCTTCTGCTTTGGCACCTAATGAGCTTAATGCACTAATTAGAAGCGCAGGCATTGAAGCGCGGCACTGGCAATCTCATTCATCATCATGACGTTGGAGCAACTGCGTCCGCGGTCTTCAGCTTTTTCATATTCATTGGCCGCTTAGAAATTCTCTGCTGGCTGAGCTTTGTAGTTCACTGACCACTGCGCATTGGGCCCGAGTTGCAGTTGCAGCTTTGAAGCCTAAGACTTTGCTTCATGCTTCACAGCAATGCCCACGCCGACTTCCACATAACAAGCACTGGTGCTTGCGGTCAGCATTGGGCCTATGCATCAGGGGGCAGTTCCACAATATTAATAATTACTCTTTGAACAGGCGACTTGTACTTCTTGCTCAGCCATTAGCCTAATGTTTGATTAACTTAATTGCTTTGAAGCATATTCTTTATAGTTACTATTTGGGTGACTAGGTTCTTTTCATTCTGCTTACCTTAAGAATCGAACTCATTTCGCTGACGTAGATTCGTTCGGTTTCCAGAAGTTCCGTCAGCACGTGTCCGCGTTTAAGTCGCCGTGCTTCAGCGTCCTGCAATAGAATGCGAGGAGATTGCTTTAATTGTTGCTTAAAAAGTTGCTAATCCTATTCCCATTACATGGAAACAACAATAGAATTATTTGATTCTTTGCGGATATTTCTCCAATAGAAAAGAGACAGTCTTTTGTCGATTTTTAGGGGGCACAAGCAAGTCATTGATGACTTCGAAATTCTAAAATGCTTAGTGACCCCCAGGCTGGACGTTCAACCAAAACTAAGTGCTGGCTCTTCTACCATCTTAAAGCAGCCGCAAGTAAAGTTTAATATATTTGTTGGGACTAAGAATGATTTTATGCTGCTGTCAAGATAGACGCATAGCGGGGCTCTCTCGAGAGCCGACAAATTAGTTTTGGGGATACAATAAATGCCGTAAATATGGAAATATGGCTACAAAGTATTTTTGTTGCAGTCCTGGCCGGCGATGGAGGCTGGGAAACCCTCTAACAGAAGTCACTCATGTCTTTTACCCCAATCGAATCTGCCTTTAAAGCACTTAATAAAGTTGTATCGCTTATGGTCAAAGCTTTTTATTGGCGTTGACAGAAAACTTAATACAAATCCACACTCTATAGTAGTAATGATTGAATATAATTAAAGCCAGTTATAAAATGTTACCACTCACCTGTTGATTTTGCATGTGCTCGCCGCTGTCTGGACTGGAGCTGGCGTCGCCGTTCAAAGAGACGCCCGAGTCAACGACACCATCCATAGATCTGGGTCGCAATTCATGCATGCCGTCAGTCTATAAATATCATTACAAAATAAAAGAATGCCCATTAATATGCGTTCGGTAGCTAGCTAGATTTAAGCATGTCTCAAAGCAGGAGAGCGATAACAATGCGATCGCGACCACAGTATCTTAGTATCTGTCGCTTGAACTCGAAATGGAACACTAAAAAGGTTGACGCTGCTGGCAAAAATATCAGAAACGAAAAGACACTAAAAACCCAAAAAGTGCTCAGGGAAACGGTTTGTTGACATAGATCGTCGCCGATTTTTTTTTTCTGTTTTTTTTTTTTTTTTTTTACTAATATTTGTTGACAAGTTTTGCCAGCAGGCAGGCAGGCAGCCATTGGTGGCAAGGCAAGGCAAGGCAAGACTTTTCTAACTTGCTGGCGTTATTTAAATTTGTAAATGTGAAAAACGGTTCTTTTTCTATTGTACTATGTGTTGTTGTTGGCAGCACTTTCGCTTGGGCGCGTTACCGGCTCACTGTGGTCGCCCAATTCGTTCGACTTTCCATGCGTCTGTCTACGCTTTTGTGGTTTCAACAAGCCGCACGCTGAGCTGCGGTTGCAGCGATGCTCTGCCCCCCTCGCCCAGCAACATACTCGTAATGGTTGCAGCCAAGGTCTAATTACTTGCCAAATGGGCAGCAGCACAAGTTGTTGCCGGTTCTAAGCCAGCTGGCGTCTTTAATTACCCTCAGCTTAACCTGCTCCGGCCCCTGGCGTCGCACAGCTCCACAAGTCGGGTGTGTATTAGATAATTGTTACTGAATTAAACCATTGCTCGTCACTGTGCGCTTTCTAACTCACCAGCTTCTACCGACTTCTACAACAATGACCAAGTTGGCTGCTCACAGTCTGTTTGTGTTTTTAATTGCTGTGTGCTTTGTGCGCTGTGGCCTCAGTCTCGTCTTGTTTGACAGAATTAGCTTAATTCTTTGGCTTTCATTGTTGCCGCCTTCTGCCATACATATTAACAAAGTTTTCGCTCTTCACAATAGACGACTCTATGAGCTTGCTAGCGCTTCACTGCCCTGCCAGCTTTTTCATTTCTTCTGCCCATTTAGCGCATTTCCATTCATGTTCCACACTCTGCTGCAGAACCAACCATTCAACTGGGTCATGCGAGCGACGCAAGGGCATTAAAAACGGGGTTATATACCAAAACATATGTACACTCCCGTAGCCAGATCAACCAACACATATATTTATGTAAGTATAAACCTATCTTTATACCATTTTTAAGGAAAGTTGTAAGTGCCCAACTTTTTGAAAACATTTAATCTGCTCCCATAATGGTGACCAATTCGATTAAGATAATGTTTAAATATTTTGTGTCATCCACATCGAAAAGAAAATGGGCTTTCAATATTAGGTGTGTAATTAAGAGTTGAATTTTTCAACGTGCGATTATAAGTATTTTGGACATTTTAATTTAATTTAATCGTATAACAATAATATAGGAACAACTTGTAAGTCCTTAAGATTTCAGCAAGTATCCGAACCAATGCCAAGCAAAAATAAATTTTGTAAGTATTTCAAGTTCTTAATTATAAACTAAAATTAAATGTAAAATGGGGGTACGCCTATTTTTATAAATAAGGCAACTTTTTACGAAATATTTGATACAATTGTTGGGGCTTCTTCTCTTTTTCATGTTATTCTTTATTTCTGATCTAGATTTGCCCTGGCTTGGACAATTATGAAATGTTATGAGAACTCTTAACTTCGATATCATGCTTGGTTCTGGAATCGAACCTATTTTGGAACAAACTTAAATAATGTGATTTCCGCTAGCTCGTTGAGAGCCAAATATTGCTAAACTACTTATTTGTAGCTAGTATATTTAATATTAAATCTAAGTAAAGTTTCTGTAAAACATAGGTTTGGTTTATTAGTTAAAGAACTGCTTATTTTTCGGCGTCACAGACTTCCCTTTCAACAGATTTTAAATAATTGTATAATTACATTTTTCAATTGTATAAATCTTTACCTCAAATTGAGCTTGCTCTTAAAAAACACAACAGCTCAAAACTCGTTTAAAAAATATATTTAAAAGATGCCGACGTTTTAAAGTAAAGTATTGGTATTGAAACTGGTAATTTGAAGAAACGAAAAAAGGTATATATGGAAAAGGGGACTTTAATTTTAAACAGCTACCGAATTATTTCAAGTTCGGTAAGCATTTTATATTTATTTTATAAATTGTTCAAGGCTTTTGGCAAAATAAGTCAGTCACAGATAATTGCAGAAAAGGTGAACTTGAAAAGTTTGCCAAAGGAATTAATAAGTTTCGCAAACGAAAAATTGTTTGTTTTTATTGAATTCCAAAAGTACAATCCCTTATTTAAAATAGAAAACTTTTGCATAATCTCATAAAAAAATACAATAAATAGAAATCTGCGCTTAAAAATCTCTGCGGATTTCAATGATAAGTACTCCTCTATAAGCGGATTTGTATTGTATTTGTCAATCGTCTCGTGTGCTTTCTATTTTTTGGGTTCTTAAGACGGAATTAAACGCGATCTCGCTTTTATAGAAATGTAGACCATGCACTCACACACTGCCTTCAGTTTCTGTTTACGATTTTTCATCTCGGGACAAGTGCAACCGTCCTTGACAGAGTTTTGTCTCACTTTCTGGCGCATTGTCGCACACAGTGTAATTGAATCAGTAGCAATATAGTAATTAAGTTAATTAATTGCACTAAGGTGCGCAATCTTTCGCCTGCCTTTCGAGGCAAAGTGAAAACGAAACTGAATCTTGCTTTGGTTTCTTGCCCCGTTGCGCATGCGCCGTGACTTCTCACCTTGCGCAGAAGTGTGGCGGCAGTGGAGGTTGACAATTTGGTGTTGTATTAGTTGCTATAAAACTACAATAACAACAATAGTTTTTAGCAACAACAACAGCAGCAGCAACAGAGCATTGCTGGGCACTTTTTGATTGCGGGCAATAATTTCTTTGGGAGTCAGTGGGCTTTTTAGGCTGCGTCATGCTGACAACTCGATTTGTTCATTAGTCTTTTGTCCAGCTGCGCTAATGACCAGAGTGGGGCAATTCGCTTGTTTGATTATTATTTTTATTTTAATGCAGCCGCGCACCTTTTGTTTCATATCTATAAATAAAAAGTTGGGCAAGCTACCAACTTCGCTACTTAGCATTTTTTTTTTATTTTTTCCCCGTATAATTTTGGGCATTCGATCTCACAGGCACTCGGCAATATGTTGTGGCAGTCAAGAATAGCGGCCGATAAGCCGATGCAGAGAAATTGGAATGTTGACCCAGCACGTACCGTTAGCAAAAAGCTAATAAAGATCAGAATTTCCCAAGTTTTCACGACTCTTTAACGAATGCTTGTCATTGTTGTTGTTGCTGTTGTTGTTGTTGTTGATTTCAAAGCCGCTTTCAAATGCATAAATTCTGATTCAGAATTCTGTTGGGTTGGTCGACAGAGACTGCAACGCATTGTGGAGATGCGCGTCTCTATATTTGGATTTGGAAATAAATCACAGACAATGGAGAAAGTGAAAGGTGTTAGCGGTATATGCGTGCCACCGAATATACGAAAGACACAAAAAACCATGTCTGCGAGAGTGAGAGTTGTTGTTGTTTTGGTTGATTTTTTATAATATCCACAACATATGGGGGAGTCATCAAGGAGTGTGAATATATAGTGGTAATTACAATCAGTAATCTGCATACGGGGCAGATATAGGGGTCACCAAACTATTTTTTGTGTTTGTGAATTATGCTGTGATTGTCGATCGTGTTAATTCCCCTGCTTTGGAATATTCCATCTGCCATCTTCATCTGAGCTTAAGAGATCTTTTATGGCTACAAATTTATGTTAACAATCGCTGATTGTTAGAAGTGCAGCAAATAACATTTTAAAGCTGATGAAAGTGCTAATTAAAAGCGAAATTCAACTCACGCGAGAAGTACTTGTATATAGCTATAGCCGAAATGCAAATAATATTTAGCCGTTTATTAGGTATTATTGTAATTTGATTAGGCTTTCCTAGCTTTTAAGATTTTTTTATAATTCGTATATCAATCAATGTTTGTTGACATAAATATAAATACATAGTTACTTACTAGTAATCATGTTAAGAATATATAATCAGGAAGTGCAATAAATAAAATTTTACAACTGATTAAACGTAGTGGTAGGAGTAGGTGTATGCATCATAATTTGCACCACAAACCTATAAATCCAATCTTATATTAATGAAGTGACGGAGACATAATGGCATAGAGACAGACAGACGCAAACACACATAACTAACATACATACATATATCGAACAAAAAATAGATGTAGCAAAAAAAATCACAAAGTGTAATTTGTTATGAAACTGCGAAGCAAAAAAAAAAAAAACAACAAAAACGCAACCACAACACTTCAGTGTTTGCTTTTCGTTTCTGTTTATTTATTAATGAGACGAAGCTTCCTGGCATTCACATGCAAAGGCACATCTCTAGTGCCACCTTCACCTTCAGGCGGACGAAGCGCGCTGTCTCTGGTCTCTGGTTGAGCAATGGCTCCACATAATAATTATTCAGAGTTAGGCATATACATATATCGGAGCAGATACTTCCACACACATACATATGTATATGCTCAGACATATCTTTCAAATTAGGCGGCAGCGGAAAATGGCAAATCGAAATAATAATGATGGGAGATGATGAGGAAGAGAGAAAAAAGGCGAAAAAGGCGAAAAAGAGGCGTGAAATGATATCAACCCGAAGATGTTGAGATGAGCTGCCAACGGGTTTTCATTTATTATTCACAAGTGTGTGGCATTTGTGTTAATAGATCAGCAATTTCGGTAGAAAGATGTGCCACATAATGCGCAATGAGGGACTCGGCATTCAATTTTAAACAATTGACATGATTATAATGACCCTTTTGCGTTTGCCCAACAAATATCATAACTTCCACATTAATGCGATGCACCGATCGATATACGAGTATGTATATAGGTTGCCTCATTTCTGTTGGAATTTTGCTTTGCATGTCGAAATTGTTGTTCACACTGACGTTGTTTTGTTTGCGATCGGATCCCAATGGCCCTTGCATTTGACTTTTATGTTTGATATTGAAGAGGTGCAATAAATTCGTTTTGATTCATAAAGCTCTCATTCAATGGAGATATTTATTACTGTTGATTTGTCAGTGACGCAGCAAGCAGTTTGTTGAAAAAATCAATGAATAATGCGACAATGACAGACGGATGTTATAGCCCAGAGAGCTTAAACTAACCATTTATTTTTAAATTATGGATCAGGCCGAGATCCTGAAGATAACGTGCATTCCAGGAAAATCGCTATTGATTGCTGCTCGGAAGTTGTTAATTTATTCTGCCAATAATTGAAATATCTATTAGCATCATATAGTAGAATCCCTAATAGTTTGCCTAAGAAATATTTTTCACAGCCTTGTTAACTCACAAGATGGCAAAATCATAAATACAGTACGAATTAAAGAAGAGAAAAAATTCATGATGCTCCAGCAATTTATATTCAGAAGCTAGGCGAAGATATTGGCCCTATGGCTAGTCTGAATAGAACAAAAACTGATGACCGTTTCAGTTCAGATTCAACAAGGGCTTTAAATTTGTAATGCTGAATAATAAAGACAGCATTTGTAACTTTTACAATCATTGCCGATTGTCAGAAATTATTTGCAGCAAGAATATAATTATCTTTCTTTTTATAGCTTCCTCGTTCATTATTACAAATGTTCCTTCATTCTAGACGAATGGCTTTATGTTTGTTCTGTTGTACTAATTGTTTTCAGAAGTAAGTTTTGTTAATGCTTGAGAGTGCAGAGTCAGCTTAAATAATCTTTCAATTGAGGGAAACAGGTTCTCAGCTATAGTTGGTATAGAATCCAATGCTTAGACTTGATTTTTCTTCCTTTAAGCAGTTGCCACTGTACGTACGGATGGCTGCAAAGTGTACAGAAGAAACAAAGCAAGGCCGCAAGTAGTTGAGAGGCAAACAAGAAATGAGCAACGGAGCAGTGGCAAGTAACGGTTTACTCATAAACGTTGCATAAAGACTTTGTTAGCATTGAAGGAAAGGCGTGGAAAATACTTTAAACTGCTAATGTTGCAATTGCTACTGTCAATGTGCCACACCAGGCAAGACCAGGCCGGAGCAAGTGGAAGTCAAGTGGCAGTGAAGACAGCCAAGCACACAAACCCACACCGAGGCAATGAAAATATGCGCATGTTACTCGCATGATTGATGAGGAAGCCGACAATGCAGCCAAGTGCGGAAAGGCGCCCAGCAACTGTAACAGGCACAGAAAACGAATGTGAGCCAAATGAAACGGAAACTCTACTGTGCCACTCCCACAGGCCAGGTTTCGGCTTCCGCCTTATTATAGCAAATAATTAGTGGGTCTGGGAAGGCACTACACTGCCCTCCATACAGGGATTAGGGTAATTCCTCTTACTTGTATTATTACAGCGCCTATTAACTATTCATGGAGGTATATATATATATATATATATAAATATATATATTGTGTTATTATTACAGCACTTATTAACTATTCAGTTTCGAGGCTGGATCTAACTAGAGAGCCCCTGTGTGGGCTTAAAGTAGAGCTGTGAGTGAACAGGAGGGGACGTGAAAAGTTCCACGACTGACTAAATTACTTCCTTTGTGCATTCAAATATCTTCAGAAGATTGACTCAAATGCTGGAAAAATAACTTGAATATTGAATAATACTGATGGGCAGTGTTGCCAATTTTTTAGAAGGACAAAAGGTTGTTTTGACGCGAAGAAGGGGGGGAAAAAAGCTATAAAACTTTGCAAAAAAGCCGAAAAAAGCTAAATTTCTTTAACAAAATATGCTTAGAAAAATGTATTTTTTTTTTTTACTGATTTTTAAAAATCTTGGTGAACATTTAATATGATATTCGAGCATTTTTTTCTGTTTATGCCCTTTCAAAAAAGGTAGTGCAAAAGTTGCTCAAGTGGTCTATCTGCGCTTCCTGTTCGGATTTTCGGTTTTTATCTCCCACAATGAAGTCTCAAAAACAACCAGATTTGGCGGAAAAAAGCCAAATTTCCAACATTGGTGATAGGTATTAGATTGGAAAGATGTTACATTGGTATTGAGTCTTTAGCTTCACATGAGCATTAGAAGACATTCTGAATATTTCAGTGGCCTAATACAAAGCAAATGACAATAAATTTTAATTTAAAAAGTGAAAAACGGGATAATCTCTGAATCTGCATGATCGATTTTAGTTTAAAGTCTAACTGGAAGATGACTATATTTTCCTATTTCCTATAGCGTGATTTATTTATTGTCACGCTTCCAGCTCTACTAGAGACGAATTGCTGTTTTTTAATTTTTTCGAATTCCCATTTGTTTCATGCTGAGTTCCTACCTTTCGCATCAACTTGTTGTTACGTATGAGTATATCCTCAACGCTGCTGTTGCGCAGCAGCTGCTGCTCTCGTTTACGCTGGAGGAGCAGTGCCTCAGAGGACGGGGCTCCTACATGCTCCACAGTGAAGTCGCCTTCGTAGTAGGAGCAATCGTCCTCGTCGCAGCTGGAGAGACTGCAGCAGCAGGCCGCTCCGACATCGGCATTGTTTTCATTGTAGGCCGTATTCCAGAAGACGCCACCAATGGCGCTGCAGCAATCGGGGGCGAGACAATTGGGCGAGGGAGGACACACTTGGCTGGTGCAGGTGCAGGAGTCTTGTTCTGAATCGCAAAGCGAGCTATTGTCGAGGCTGGAACCACCACAGCCCGATGACGTGGAGGCACACGAGGCAGCTGATGAGAGCTCTCGTGGTAGCGAGTTGGGAGAACTTCGTGTGTTTTCGTTTCCACAACCACTGCGCACAAAAATCTTCACGCTGTTGTTGTTGTGAGCGCTGATGGGTCTCGCCTGACGCCTTGATGGTGACTCTGCGGGCGGCGGTGGTGCGGGCAGCGTCAGCGAGTCCGTTTCCATGTAATCGTCATTGGGATCCACACAGGACTCTCGCACCCAACTGTCATCAATGGTGATTGTTGTGGTGCTGGTGCTGTTGTTGGTGGTGGTTGTGGCTCGTTGAAGATTATTCAGTTTACGTTCGTTTTCAATGTTGCACTGCTTGGCCTGTTGTTGGGTGGTGGCGGCAATAAGCAGTTCATCTGTGGTTGCCTTGGTAAGATTTTTCTTGGCGAAGTTCTGCAGATCGTTGGGATCAGCGTGCATTTTAGTTGGCTGGGTCGCTCCCGTGGCTCGTTCGAATTGTTTTAGCTTGGTTGGTGGCAGCGGAGAGAGCGGCTTCTCCTTACCCTGCAGTACCTTAACGCAGTCGGCACATTTTTCCAGATTACGAATGTTTGTTTGCTTTGTCACGTGCTCTTGTTGTTGTTGCTGGCGTTGTTCCTTGCTGTCATTGGAAGTGGAAACACCCGAGTCCGAGCAACTCTCGAGTGAGAGGCGTTTCAGGCGATTCTCCTGATGCTGCGACATCGGACAATGCGCATAATTGCAATTCTTGTAGCCACAGCTGCGCCCGTTCCCTTCCTCGGCTGATTTGCGTTCTTCGTTAGCTGGCTCTGATGGTCCATTGGCGGCCAGTTGGTTAATGATGAGCAGGGGCTGGCGCTTCTTGCGTATGTGCACGCGCTCTAGCTTCACTTTCTGCTGCAAACGCGGAGATTGCGAGGTCTTTGGCGACTTCTGTTCCGGCTGGAGCTGATGTTCGCCACCGGCTTTTTGGAACATCCACTTGGGCGCAGTCGTATGTGCCACCTCCTGTTGGAACAGTTGCTTGACCCGTCGCTGCAGCTGCGCATTGGCCTCGGTATAGATCAGAGGTTTCGGAATGCGTGATGACAGCGGGAGACGACTTGCAGGCGGAGATGGTGATCCATAGACGGAGACACGGGTATTAGGTTCTTTTTTAGGAGGTGTTGTGGGTGCCGGGCGCTTCGTCTGTTGGGGCGGTGTGTTGGGTTTTGCTGATGGTTGGGAATGGCGATGATCGCATTCACTGTTCTCGATGATGGCGATGCGATCAGCGCGTGATTTAATACCCGCACGTGCAATATCGCGACGTATATCGCGGGTCGAGCACTTGTTCCGATAATTCCAACTGTGCGATTTCTCGCAGTCGGGTGTAACCGTGCTGGCCTCTGTGGCGTCCGAGTCAGATTCCGAATCGGAGCAAGAGCAAGCTGAGTGAGAGCAGCAACAAGATTGTGCGCAATCATCGCTTGAGGCTTGCGTTGGAGTCCCCTGCGCCACAAATCGTGGCAGCGAGGCGCGTTGATTGCTGACTGGCGGCTGCAATAGCTGCCAGGATTCGACCGTGGGCGGAGGTAACGAGGGAAGAGTTTTGCGTGGTACTGGACCCTCACCACCCGCACCCCTTGTCATTAGTTGTGGCGGCGCCTGACGACGGTAGCCAGCGAAGCGTGCCGGATTATTCAGACGTGGAGTTGGTGGCGGCTCATTGGACTTGTGCATCATTGCTTCTTTGCATTGGTGCACATAGTTGACCTTGAGCAGCTCCATTTTTGGCACATCCGTGCTAGACATACGCGAATCGATGGTACTGTCCATGCTAGGCGGTTCAATAGCCGCCTTGCGCGGCAGCTTTCCGATGGGCATTTTCAGAGTCAGTGTTTTTGATAAAGCGGAAAATTACCGTCCACTTCCACTTAACTTTCCAATGAAAATACAAAATTGGAACAGGCTACATCCACACATCAATTGCTCCATATTCATAGTCACATTTACATTAACATTTACACATTTAGATATTCACGTTCACAGTTCAGTCCATGGACCATATTTTTTTGGCTGCAGCTCTGTTTTTTTTCTTTTTGCATGCAAATGATTTGCGTTGATGCTCCCAATTGCGAGATGACGGCCACGGTTTTCAACAACGCCCAGTTAATTGTTACACCTTGGCGATCAATCGCCCTTTCAATCAATCGCGTTCACTTTGTGCCTGCCCGGTTGACTTCATTTAGATTCACAATGGGCGGCTTTTGCATAATTATGCAAATCAATCAATCCACAACACTCTGATATTTTCGATTTTTTTTCGTACGTGATCTTCAAACTCCCGTTGGACGCGAGTCTCATTTGATTTCCTTCGTTTGCTGCGCGCGACGTTGCTGCGACATCAAAAGTTCGGCTTAGACTGTTGAGGCAGCAGCTTTGTCCGAAGCAACGAGGTGGATGGCTTTCGGGCCAGCCCCATCTTGTCGGTTCGAGTTCGCTTCGAACCTGTTGCGTGCAAGTTCGAAAGCGCGTCCATCGTTGGGTTTAGTGGCCGTAATTTGTTAGATTATTCTTCTCTGTTGCTCTGCAAGTTCTTCGCCTTGCTCCCGTTCCGTGTTCTTCATCTTATTTTTTATGGTCCCATGGCACCACAGTCATAAAAATAAAACCCTTGAGTGCATTCCAATCGAGGGGCACGATGACTAAACGCTGATAAAGCCAAACATTTTTAGCTGGAAGTCTGTGTGGGCGCTGCAATCGCAGCTGATCGTCTGAGGGTCTTAAGTTTCCAGTAATTTTTCAATACACTTGGAGATGTAATTTATACTCTTAAAAAAAAAACACCAACTAAAAATGGTAGGATTCTAAGTTTTCAAAAATGCTTTTCTTAACTTTCAAAAACCGATAAATTAATTTTAAAAGAGTAAACAAAATAATAAAAATTTGCTGGATGAATAACAATATATAGTATGTAAAAGCTTGTGGTGAATTATAGGTGAATTAAATCCGTGTCAGAGTTTGAAGAACGTTTCTTACGTTGATGTTTTGTTAAAAATATTGTCCGATTTTTAACCGACTTAAAAAAAGGAGGATGTACTTCACGGGTACTTTGATGTGAGTTTGGAGGACGTTCTCAATTCGACTGTATTTTTGATTGTTACCTCAGTACTTTCGGCTGGGTGAACCGATGATGATTCTTTTTCCATTTTAAATCTGGTGCTTCCCGAATGGTCCCAGTTCTGACGATGGCATTCATGAGAAAACTATCTTAAACATGCCTCATTTGGTCCAAAAAGCTGTACAGTCTATTCCTGAACACGCTGCTGTTACTTCAAAATCATTCTCAAAACCGTAAGTCACTTTAAATGACAAAAAAAAGCATTCCCTGCACTAGACCTGAAGTCGGTTTTATTTTTTGTTCAAATTGTAATTGTAAGATATATTTTTGTAAGTTTTGGGGCGTTTGATTCAAGAAGCAACCCATTTTAAAAGTAGAGCTGGTTTTCTTTAGTTCTAATATTGGGAAAAACCTCTCAAGTAAATCTAGTTTTCTTCTGCACTCATTGAACGGATATTTTGGAAATTTTAGCACATATTTTGATTTGTTTGAGTGTATTATGGGCAGATTGATCGGAACATGCGTGCCTGGTCAACTCCCAAGCTAACTCGTTGATTAATCAGAGGCTCTGTTGAGTTGTAAACTGGTTGGAGGCTGACATTGAAATGTAATTGGAAGACCACTTCTGAAAATGGTTGAAGACAGAGCTTATGCTTATGGTATTATGCAAGACGGAAGCACAAAAAAGGATCTACACCAAAGGCTTGTTTGGCATATGGCCAGAGCAGCCAGCCGTATATATAGATATATTAACGAAAATAAATATAGTCAGGCATGACATCGCTTTTGCCATGGCAGCGGGGATCGAAGACAAATTTCATGAAAAGTGAAACGCCACAAAATTCATAAGCAATGCGTCCCAAAATCAGCTTTTCATTCATTAAGCATTAGACATTAAAATAAAGCAATGCGAAAAATCGCATTGCATGGCAGAGACACGCAAGAGACAAACCTAACTAATGCAATTAAAATAAATCCGTGCCGAGTGCAGCGCTCGACAGTAACACTCTCCAGTTTCGAAGAAAGTCAGAGCTGAGTCAGAGCGTAGCTAAAGGTGGAAAGCCTAATGCGCCGTCGCAGCCTAAATGGATTCTGCAGCGTAACGATTTTTATGAAATGGTAACGTAACTCAAAACACGGCCAAATGAAATTGAAAGTTATCTTATCATGTCTGTCATATCTGACATGTTACCCCAGAGATGGGCATTCTTCCATGCACCCCAGGTGGGCGACATTTATAAATACAAGTAGTTGGTCCACTTGAAATGTCAAGCAGCGGAACTGCCTTGAGGCATCAAGCATTCAAATTGAAATTGAAATTCGCACACTTAACTTCAATTAAGTTGTTTTGTATCAGTTTTGGCCAAGACTTGACTTGGCCAAGCATGACATTGGCGTTCTCTGAAGCTCACTTCATTACTAATTGCACACAAATTTTATGCCGATCATGATTCTTGAATATGCGCGTAAGTAAATAATACAAAATAAAGGCTAGGCCAATTATGAAGGATGACAAAAATATAATATTCTTAATTTCGGCAGAATAGCTCGGTTGGTAAATTCCAAAAATGATCACTTAAAGTAATTGTATAAAACATACTTAGTATTTACTGTGAAATATCAAATTCATTTCATAAATTTAAAAAGGCTTCTGAATCTATAGGAATCCAGTTACAAGTACTGTCTGCTAAGCAAGTAACCGAAATAAAAGTCAATCTGTAGAAATAACTTTTCAAAGTTTTTTAAAAGTGCGTAAGTTTTGCTTATTTGCTGACATTTTCTTTGCTGATTAAAAATATTCATATTCAAATGTATGAAAAACATATAAAAACTAAAGAGTAATAAAAAATCAAATGGCTTGGACCTTGAGTAATTACTCAAGTCTGAACTTGGAAAAAACTTCAACTCGTACTTTCTCGGTCTTAGGAGAATCTGAATACCAAGTTTGGTTATTCTAGCTCTTATACTCTCTGAGATCCTTGCGTTCATACAGACGGACGGACGAACAGACGGACATTGCTATATCGACTCGCCTTGTCATGCTTTGTGGGGTCTGCCGCGCCTCCTTCTGCCTGTTATATACTTTGCACAAACCTAATATGCCATTTTTACCCTACTGGTACAGGGTATTAAAGGTTCACAATATGTATAAGTACCATTGCCTCTTAGGGTCCTGTTTTACAAAAATTATTCAGAATATTCCACTTGGAAAACACCACGCCACCACCATATGGGGAAGCATTTAAAAGATAACTTAACTAACAGATACCAAGCCAGAATGAGTTTTAGCGTGGGACAAATCTTAACAACACTTCATATTTTAAGACTAAATACATATTAATGGGTTTCCAAAATATTTCTATGAACCAGCCAACTAAAAAAATTAACGCAGCGATTTTGTCAGACGCGCAAAACTTCCGCAAGCCCGAAATTCGAAAAACAACACAAACATCATAAACAACAACAAGAGAGACAGAAACAGAAACAGAAACAACAAAATGCGACAAAGTGAAATTAACTCTAAATATGAACAATTAAAATAATTATAAATAAAACTGATTGCCAAGCTGCAGCATAACACATACTTGTATACATACATACATACATACTACAAATAAAGTTGTTGTTTTGCTGTGTTTTTTCTTTTTACTGGGCTGTGCGCATTATTTCATAAAAAAGCTCCGCAACGTTATCGTTTATGGATTGCAGTGCGGAGCCGATGCGATGAGGCTTTAACATGTAATCTATGGTTTGGTCGGTAGAAAGTGAAAATAACACAGGTACGAGTACTAGCCATGAAACGGGCCGGGTCCGGGCTCGGACACCGGCCCTTAACGCTTCATTGCCCCAATGTACTTACGAGCTACCAATTTGTCTGCCGGCTGTCAAAAATATAGATGTATATCACACGAGTATGTATGTATGTGTGTATGTACACGTGGTTGTATGGTCGTATTACCACATTTAATTTCTCATTTGAAATCAATTAAAATTTCTTTCCTTCTGTCTTCTTCCACACATTCCTATTGCTCGGCCAGCTCTTTGTTTTTCATAAGTTTCCGCTTTTGTGTCTGCACAGAAAATGCTTTAATTTCGCTTAAACGCTGGCTTGTGTTTTCTTATCCACTGTTTTGGTATCAAGCGCCGCTCTCCACCGCAATTAAATCTTTGTTTGTTGCTAGTATGGGAGTTAAATGAAATTTCTGCCTCGTCTATACGCATTTCCAGGTCGCGAGAAAAATAAGCAAATGATGAATGAAATACGTGTACAAAACGCTTTCTTTTCTCCAACTATAATTTCATAACTAAGAATTGCATATTGTTGTTTCGTCTCTTTTGTTTATGCCATTGTTGTTGCTGTCCTCGTGTTTTGGAAGTGCATTAAACTGGCCAATTCCAATTGGTAGTAGCCAGACAATAAATCAACGAAATGGTTTTTTTTTTTTTTTTTTTGGCTATTTTCGTAACTTTGCATATGAATGTGAAAAAGAGAGACAATACTTTGTGAAACCTTTGCGAGTGAAATCAATATCAAGATATAATAATTATACTATGCCTAGTATACTACAAGTATATATATGTAGAGGCTTATATTTGTAACTATGTAAGAAGTGTCTTTAATCCATCTACGGAATATTACAATTTTGTTGAGTATTGACTTTCTAAATTCATAGAAATTGAGAGCAATTATTTGAAAGTATACTGTATACTAAAGTATACTTGTATTTCTTCTACCATTTTCAAACACTATATATGATATTTCTAAACTATATAGGAAGAGTCCTTGCTCCATCTATGGAAAATCAGAATTTTGTTAGGTAGTTGACTTTCTCAATTCGTAGAAATTGAGAGCCATTATTTGATAAATTATCGTGGTACTGACTGGAACAATTCAATACCCTGCACATTAAGATCGCTTTACTTAAATTAATTGTCTCGTAAGAGCGGTTTTCTCTGAAACAGAATCACGTTGGTCTATTTCCAGAACTTTTTTCCGAAAGTGAGGAGAAAAACATAACACTATTGAATCATCAGAAATCACCAATCGTTTTTGCAGTCCTTTTATTTCCGGAAGCAAATCGAAAACAAAGCATAGAGGGTATTCTGGTATATGGGAAAAGTACCGATCAGATTGTCTTTTATTCTTTACACGAGCCCTCTCCATCAGTGATATATAATATATCAAAAATATCTTGAAAAGGAAATATCGAAGTTATCCAATTTTGGTGTCCTCAGCTCATGGCAGCTAATGGCTCAATAGTGTACGGTCTTCAAACAGACGAATAAACAGTTTTGTATGTTACATCCCAACAACTTCCAAGTACACTATTTACAAGGCAGAAATAAATTGCTATTCAAATAGATCGGTTCAGTGAAAGTAGTGCCCGATAATGTTTTCAAAAAGAGCTGCTTAAGGAATTCCGCATTCGGTTTCATTTCACAATCCACATATACTCGCACATAGTATTACAATAGAAGATACAGCGGTGATTATTAGGCAAGGGAAATGCTATCTAAGTTCAAGGGGCAATTGACGAGCGCCCGTCATAACAACAACCACAACAACAACAACGAAAATAGCTAACAGTCGTCGGCCAAAAAAGCAGGTTGGATAATTGCTGTCAACATTTTATAATTTACTACTTTGTATAATTTTGCATGCGTTATGCGATGTCAGTTGAAACGGTCGCTAGCGGAATTTTTCGGTTAACATAACAAAACGCAAGAAATTTCAGTTGTTAGGGCTCAGAGGTAAGGGGGGATAGCCACCCCCTACGGCTAACTAATCGGGTTTGAATTGGTCAATTCGTAATTGCTTAATTTTGTAGGCCAAGCAAACAGAATTGTTTATTTAATGGAAAACTGGTGCTGGCTTTTTAGCTTGCCATTTGCACAGTTTTCGCCAAGAAGCCAGAGGGCTTAGAAGATGTTTTCGCACGATCAGAGTTGGTCGCTCATCTTGAATTTCATAAGTAAGAAAGGGTATTTGGTATTATTATCAAGACAAGTGATTGGATTGCGTTTCTTCAGTTCATGCCTATCTCAATAGCAGCACTATTTGCGTTTTGTGGCATGAGGGCTACGAGTTTCAACCTCAAGGAGCGGCAATCTTTGTGGACATAAGTCGCTCCACCTTAAAAGGGAGTTTCGAGCGTGACGTCATCGATTCGCAAGCCAAACAGGGCTACCTGAACACTAATAATTTACCGTTTGACGATCTACTTCTGAAACTTACACTATCTATTGAGATATCGCACTGTGAGGTGGGCTCCGATGTTGAAGGAAATCTGGCTTGTTTTTCAGTTGCATTTCTTTTAGAGCTTTATAGTTTTCGGCTCGGATATTGAGGAGTTCGTGACGGCATTCGAAAGGGCATCCATGTACTCGATTTGGCGTTCAATATACAACCGCTTTGTGTTTGCTCATGAGGCGGGCGAGCTAGAGGAGACCTGCTGCAAGCATCTATTTTTCCAGGGTAATGAAGAAAGTGATGTCACTATACTTGTACGGTTGGATTAATGTAGTTATATAAATGCCCTGCTCGCAGATCAACCCAGCATATTGTTTGTTGAGCGCAACCAGATAAATGGTAGTACCTTCGAGCTGAAAACCAACAAGTATGTGGGTGCACGAAAGGATCAGGCGCAACTCCTTTTGCTGGATCGCTACGATGCGTTGCAGCAGAGATTCGAATACGACAGCAATCTTTTTCCCGACAAGCTGCGAGATCTCGAGGGGCGTACGTTAACCATTGCTTGCTTTGACTACAGACCCTATGTGGTCTTGAAATATGTAAGTATTTGTATTCCTCCTCTATCTAGCATTTAAAGGCTCTCTCGCCCAGAACACCACAAGCAACTCGCGAGATGTGGGCGTGTCCCCAAATCAGGACGTTTATATCGATGGTGCAGAGATGCGCCTGGTGATGAGCTTCTGCGAACAGTTCAACTGCACCGTTCAGATCGACACCTGTAAGTAGCTTTTCTTTGTTGTTGCTGCTCGTCTAATGTGTGTTCCTTCAGCCGACCCGAGCAAGGACTGGGGTACCATTCTTCCCAACATGACCGGAGTTGGTTGTATTGGCATGGTGTTTGACCATAAGGCGGACTTAGCCGTTGGTGCCTTTTACTCCTGGTACAACGATTACATCTATATTGATATGTCCATGTATTTGGTGCGTGCGGGCGTTACTTGCCTGGTGCCGGCGCCGAAGCGCATGGTCAGCTGGTTTCTGCCGTTAGAGCCTTTTCAGGCAACACTGTGGGCCGCCGTGCTTTTGTGCCTGGGTGTTGAGATGCTGGGACTGGGGGTCGCTCACAAAAGCGAGCGATTGCTCTTCTCTGAAGCTAAGGATGACGGCTGGTTGGCCAGCATCAAATACGGATTGATCATCACGTTTAAGCTGTTTCTCTCGCAGTCGGGGGACAGCCATGCCCTATCTTTTACGGTGCGCGTACTACTCTTTGCCTGCTTCCTCAACGATCTCATTATCACGAGCATCTACGGTGGTGGCTTGGCCAGCATTCTCACCATACCCAGCATGGAGGAGGCAATCGATACGGTGGACCGCCTGCGTACGCATCGATTACCTTTTGCCGCCAGTTCCGAGGCTTGGGTGGAGTCCCTACGTGGCTCGGACGATGTAAGTGTTCGACGAATTCTACTATATTGCTCTTCAGCTGTACTTTTCCATCCGGACAGCCTAAGATACAGGAACTTTTGGAGAACTTCCACATCTTTGACAATGAGCATCTAATCCAGTTGGCGACTGAGGCGCGCACGGGATTTACTGTAGAGCGTATGACCTTTGGTCATTTTGCCTTTAGCGATTTCCTCACCCCAGAGGCCTTCGAGCAGATGAAGATCATGCACGAAGACTTGTATTTCCAGTACTCGGTGGCCTTTGTGCCGCGTCTCTGGCCAATGCTTGAGCGCTTTAATGCTTTAATCTATCGCTGGCACTCTTCAGGCTTTAGCAAGTACTGGGAATACCAGGTGGTGGCCGACAATCACGATTCGCTCATCCAGAACGAGGTGGGGAGCACTACGACGAGCAGCTTGGAAGATCTGGACGGACCCGAGGCGCTGGGCATGTCAAATTTTGTGGGCATTCTACTGATCTGGGTTCTGGGCATCTCTATAGCTACGCTGGTTCTCGTGGCAGAACTTTTAATGGGCAGAAATGGCAGATGCCAGATGTTAGGTTGGAACGGTCGCAAGTAGGGCAACTGGCCAAGAGCCGAGAACTCGCACGCACTGACCCGTTCTAGTTGCACGTTATAGCATATTCACGGATTAGTTGAGTTGTGTTTGCACAATTTGCAAAACTGTAACAAGAGTTGTCGCATTAAAAGATTTCACTTCGGCTGTAACAGACAAATGTTTATCTCAGTCGGTGGCAAGTGCCAAAAAGAAATTACGGCCATATTTTATGACCGCTTCACTGGCGCCGACACTATTCGGCAAGGGCTAAGCGGAGAGACACCGAATCCATGACGGATGTTCCGTGAAAGTTCTCGGAGTCGCGACAAATAGTATCTTGCAGATACTGTCTGCCTGCAGTGCATAGTTTTTTAAAGATTGTTTGTTTTTTTAATGGTCAAGACGTGTTTCCAGCTGACAGATAACACAGAAAAGCCCGCCAGTGCGCTGAACTCAATGGAATATTGTATTCAACTTTTTTAAGATGCCAACATTTCTTTAAGCCAGCGACAGCTTGTCTGTCACTTCAGCACTCAATCAGTAAGCCATTTGGCCAACTTCAGTGCGATCCAGTGATCACTTTCTGATTGTGGGCAATTTTCACGAAGTCCGACATATTGGGTCATGGCCATTTTTATGGTGGCGAGTGAAATTCTTGCCCCAACCATTGTTAAAACTTTTCTTGGTTGCCTCTGCGGGCACGCACCGTCAGCCCCCGTAGCATTCGAACGTTTTCGGTAGCTGAAGAGACGATTGAAAGGTTAATTGTTCAAGCGTTTGTATTTGGTTTTCGGTTTTCTGTTTTTTTTTTTTTTATTCAGACACACTTCAGACTTGGCTTTCGCACACGACACGCCACGCCACGCCACGGAGCCGGTGGAAAACTGTGTGTGAAGCGATTTCATCTTGATTTACATGCGCACCACGTTGCACTTTTGTCGGACTAAAATATTTTGGAAATCTCTACAAGATTTTAATTGCAAAACGAAAGTGAATTTTTGTAGCGCTGGCTTGCAATGAAAGCGAAACTCAAAAACATCAGTTTGGAACATTTGAGGCAATTGGAAATGTTGTGACGATACGCAAATGAATACATTTTATTCCCTTGATCGTATAATTGTTTAAACAATAACTGATTCATTTACAAATAACTATAAATCTTCATGCACTTTCTCGAGCTCTAGGTACTTACAATTATTTTCATTTGTAGAGACAACATTCTCCAGTATCTTGAGCACTTTATTGTTGACTACCACTCACAATAAGTGTCCAACACTTTTGATTGTTAGCTGCAAACTATTTTGCATTTAGCTCGCGATTCTTAATTCAAAACTATTCCAAACTACGATTAAGTTCTATGCCGTCCGCACGAATCAAACTGAAATTACTCAATTCCCAAGTGTGTGCAAAATGTGACACATCTTTGAATGCTGCAGCGGGATATTGCCAGCTCATAGTCCCCATTAGTAACGCACATATCTGGATGGATCAATGCGGGCCTATAAAAGCCGAACACCTTCAGCCAACTGCAATTATTCGACGCGTTCTCTCAACTAACAATGTATTCTGGCTTGTGTGTGGTTCTGATGCTGGTGCTCCTCCAATGTGCCTGCCAGGCTAACGTCTGGGACGATTACCAGTTGGAAACGAACAAAGGTCTGTAGCATAACCCTCCTTGTTACCCAAGGACCCACTCACACCTACTTCTGCTCTGTTCAGCCATTTGCGAACTACCCCCCGACTATGGAAGGTGTAGCAAATATACCAAAATGTGGTACTACGATAATGAGAGACGGCGTTGTAAGACCTTCATCTATTCGGTCTGTGGTGGCAATGCGAATCGGTTCTACACCAAAAGGGAGTGCGAGGAATTCTGCCGATATGATGCCTCTGTCGAAACTGAGAACGCCTTCATTCGAGTTGGATCGTTCATGCACGTTCGTCCCTAACCAATTATTTTGGAGCCGACAAGTTATTTTCGTATTGAAAAACTACTTTAAAGAAGGTTAGAGAATCGAGATATTGTATGGAATGATTCGATTTTTGATTTTTTTCTTTATTTTGTTAAGAACATTGCCCATTTGTCCTTTCAATAAAATAATATATTTTTGTGTAGAGTTGAATTGAGTTGGAATATTAACTTCAGGGTATACTCTTAAAATTCGTGAGTTTGTCATTTTTAAAAATATTTATTTTTAAAAAATTTAAAATATTGTTTGAAATATTGGTTGGCTACAAAAAAGTGGCATAACAATTTTCGTTTTAGTAATTTGTAGGCCTTAGAAAAATATTCTTCTAATATTAAATCAAACTATATACGTATGCATAATTGTGAGCTTACCAGATGGCTAAGGTCTGTACTGTATATATAGTATATACTGTAGGTATATGAGGAGTGACTGTTATAGTTACATACACACATACATACACAGCTGGACAGAATAATAGGTGTGAGAGCATGAACAGCATGATGAGACAAATCGATCTACTCTCACCATTCTTGTACAAGAGTCACACCAGCCTAAGGAGACATGTCTTATCTATACCCAGAGCTGTTTTTTTATAAGCCACATATAACTTCAGAATGTACTAATCAAATCTGTAATACCTCTTGAAGTAGATGAAATTCGGTGCAATGTCATATAGCGGCTGTAGAATGGATCTGTGTGGAAATCAAGCTCAACACTAACAACACTTTTGTTTATTTCGATATCATAGCTCCCATAGCAATGATTGATAAATGAATGGCAAAGTTTTTTTTCGGAATAAATGCTGTAGCAGAGAAAAGAGTGGCTAGCAAGATTTTTATGTTCTACTCATATTTGTTATTATTATGATTATTTCCTAGTGCAACAAGAAATAAATTAAAAACATTTTGTATTTGCAAAACAGAAACACAAGACATAGAAAGTTTTAGTCGGGCTAAAAAATTTCTTTTAATAGACATAGAAATCCAAATATTGGATTTATATTATTATACAAATATATAGTAAGTATGTATGTATGGATTGCTTGTTCGAAGACTCAATGAAGCAGAAGCAATGTTTATAATATATATACTTATATATATATATTTTTTTCCATATATGTAGTTGTAAAAAAGTATGTATTTGGGTTAAAAGCTGTTTATTTTATTGCTTTATAATCGCCATATTGCACATTTAAATGTGCAAGTGTTTGCATTGTTAATGCAAATCCAGCATATCGTAGTAAAAAGTTGAATGTGCGAAAACAATAGCTGTTGATATGTAAGCTCGTAAATGGATTTGTGAATGCATGTGAATATACATGTAGTTTTGTTGTATGTAGTTTGTGGAGCAATAAAATTGAAAATGCAAAAATAATAGACCTTGAAATAACAAATGCCAGCAACGCCAATCTCAGATTAGGTTTGTATTTAGCGGGAAAGTGGAATGGGATGTGGGACATTGGGAGCCGAACTGCTGGGTTCGAGAGACCCGCAGATCAGTGCGTGTCTACTCGTATATGAAATATAGTATAATATGTTATTGTCTTTTTCGTTGTAACTGTTGTCTATTGTTGAAATGCTGAATTGTTTTCGGTCAACAATTAGTGGAGAAAAGCGGCATAGGCACATCGACTGCATTTGCACAATCGTACGTGCATGGCTTGGGCAATTGTCAAAAGGCCCAGCAAACAAATAATAATAATACTGATAATAAAATAAAACGCATACATTTTTGACTTTGTTTGTGCCACATAGCCGACTAATTCAATTGGCGCGTTGCGAGTGTGGTCTCCTAATAATTTTATAATGTGAGACGAGAAAGTGAAAGAGCGAAATGTAAGTATTGTATTGCCACACATACGCTTCACATGATAAATATGCAGCTTATGCAGTCGAGTCACCTTAAATCGTCGACAACGACTAGCTGACATGCTTATTAAAATGCTGATTAATTATTTAATTATGAACGAGCCTCTAATGCAAACATAAAACAAACTCAAACGCCAAAGACGCTTGCAACAGCTGCATCAGGATCAGCATCGATGATTAGACGACACTCCATTGAGTGGCCAGCAATCATTTCACCAATTTTGGACAACGTAACGTCTGGGAATTTGATGTGATTGGCTTTAAAGAAAGCCAAACACTCATAATACCTAAGTATCAGTATAAGCAGCATGACTTTCGATTGTTCGTGGAACTGTGTACGCAAAAAGCGCATTAATCGCCTCCTTCCCCTCTGGGTCGTCGTCTCACACACAAATTAGTGCGAAATGCGAAACGATATGCGATTAGTGGCCGGTTGGGCAAAAGCTGCCTCCACACAATTGCCCATTACCCTTTGCTTATGGCCAATAAAAAAAGGGCAGCGAGAAATGAAAAAGAGCTTCGACAATGTAACACAAATCGACACGGGCATCAATCAACTGCCCAGACCCGGCAAGAGATACGTATTGGACTGAAAACTGTGCCGTCGACTCTTTATAAAAAGAGGGCCGCCGACAAGAATTGTAGAGCTAGCATAGGGAAAACTCGAAGAAAACGCGAAAAACGACTCGCACAAATGTGGGAAATTGGCACACAAGTGTGTACATTTTCTTTCAGCTTCTTGCAATAATCTCTTGACTGTAGTAGCAGCCAGCAGGCGATGGCCATCGATAAGTTTTGAGCGGGGGAGCTGTGGGTCTCAGTGGAATGAAAATACTGGTAAATCGTTTGCTAGAGAGGTACAGTTTAAGACAGGCTTTATGTAGATTTGTATGTTCCCCAGTAATCCAATAAAAGCTTTACGAAAGGACTTATATACTTGTATGTTTCCACTTCTTTATTTTCTTGTTTATTTATTAAGTAAGTTTACTTTTTCCTGCAATGTGATCGATTCAAAGACTGTTTCTATTATATCAATCAAAAAACCATAAATTTCGAATACTCAATGGCCAAATAAGTTTCCATCTTAGACACTTCCTAAGACTGCACAAAAAAGATTGCCAGTTCTGATCAAAAAATATATAAAAATAATTAATTTTGAAGTAAATATTAGTTGGCTTTTATATAATAACAGTCTCTGAAATTCATCTTTTTTGATCAACCTTTTGCAAACACCGCACAGAATCGAATGTTTGAATAAAGATGCATTCATTAAATTAAATGATATTAAATGAAATTAAGCGAAACTTCCATGATTTAGATTCCGTCTGTCTGGATGAACGTCGGGATTACAGAAAGGGCTAAGCCCACCTTGACCAAACTTGGTAAGTAGACACTACTTATACTTAGGCAACACGAGTTTATTTTTATTTTCTGATTTTGTAGCATTCTCTCTGTTGCTTAAATATTAAATTTGAAAATGAAAAATGAAGCCACGAGAGTCTTTCAAGAGTTAACTAATCAAAAACAATATGTGTCGAAATTTCGATAGAATGCCTTGAAACAGTTTTGAAACAAGTTCACCGTTGGGTTGAGGCTTTATTTAAGAAATGTATTTACCCTATACTAGAAGGATAAAGGGCTATTATGACATAGCTTCCCTTGGAATTATGTATAAACAGTACTAAGTTTTTTCCATTTAACTTTTGGCTTTGCATAACAGCATATTCTCTGGGGGCTATTTGCCAGCCTTAGTTGTTTTCTTTTCAAATCAGTTTGAAGGAAGTCAGTGAATGCAGTTGCAACTGCACTTAGCACTTAGTTGCGCAAATTGAAAAGCGCCCATGAGAAAGCCACGGCCATGGCCAACTGTAAAAGAAAATGCTTTTCACTTCAAATTGCCTGGCTGCACATTTATAGAAATTATTTTTAATTTCGCAGCAAAAACTATTTCTAATGCGGAATTGTGTAATTCTTTTCCTGCTGTTGTTGTAGCTTCTACTGCTGCTGCCCAGCGGAAATGTTTAATTTGCCATCTTAACCTTAACAGTTAGAAGAACAAGAGCGCCGTTACAGTCACGCATGCGCATGCCCATGTGGACGGGCACGCGCACGCGTCAGTGGCCGCCGATCTTTAGTTTTCTTCACGCCTGTCAACGCGATCAGCCACGCTGGCTAACGATATTTATTAAGTTTGCTTGCAGCAGTTACTCTATAAACGTTTGCATAATAGTTTATCCAGTTTGCTCGTTAAAACTGCACTAGGAAGGGCAGTTCCAGAAATACCCGACAATGTCTGAAATTAAAATTTATAGTAGAAACTAACAAAATGATTAGAAATAGAGGTATTCCTCAGACTAGTTACATTCCATTAGGGATACTCTTTTTCTTCACAAGAATAGTAATACATTAATTGCTAGAGCTTAAAGCAACTGTTAAAAAAACATCGCAGTTTTCGAAAAAATCCACAAAATGGTTTTGAATGACTGTCAACTATAACGGGGCTTCAAAAGTTGTATATTGACTAAAGATTTATTTAAAAAAAAGCAGTAAAGCTTCTTAATCGATTTAAAATTTAATAGTGTCTCCAAAGAAAGCAAAGGCAGTTCTACTTTTTGAATACAGTCTGATCAACTATATTTAATTTTGTAAAGAACGGCTATGAATTAACAACAAAAGTTGTATATTGACTAAAAATTTATTAAAAAGAAAGCAGTAAAGCAGAGTTTTAATCATCTTTTGAAGCATCAGCAGAAGTGAGCTTCTTAATCGATTTAAAATTTAGTGTCTTTAAAGAAAGCAAAGTAGTTCTACTTTTTGAATACTTTTGAATATTCTTTGATTTTGAAAAGTTGTATATTGACTTTAAATTTCATAATAAGAAAGCAATAATAAATAAACCACAGTTTTAATTATGACTTTAAACCTGGGGAAAAGTGAACGCGTAAATCGATTTAAAATTTAGTAGTGTCTTCAAAGAAAGCAAAGGTAGTTCTTCTTTTTCAATACAGTCTGATTAATTTTCTTTGATTTTGTTAAGAAGGGCCAACAATGAAGCGATATTAGTTTTTATGTATGTGCAGTGTTTGAGTTTAGAAATTACTTTTAGCAAAAAACAAGGTGGTATCAAAAATTGATTAGTCTGCTATAGATGGAATAAGATTCTTATTGTAAACATGATATTAATCATCGCTAAAGAAACAGCAAATATATTTTCGTTTATTTTGTTTGGTTGGCCATTTTTTGGACCAGCCCTCGCATGTTGCTGACAAACAGGAAGGAAATGCTTCGTAAGCGGCCCTATAAATGTGCCCCGGTTGTCGTTTAAAACAAACACCACTTTATTGCACCCTTGGCCACTTGACAGCTCAATTACGACTGTCCACAAATGGAGTGCAAAGGTAGCAGGCAGGCAGCGAGTAAACAGCCATTATTATGCAATTTAAACCGACATGTGGAATCGGTCATTGCGAGCCGACAAGTCGTTTATGTGGGGCGGGGCTGGACTGGCCCCCCGTGAACGCCTTAAACTCTGGGTCAACCCATAAATTTACGCGCAGCCAGTCAGCAAAAGTGAAATTTGTTTCTTATCACTAAAACTTTACATTGGTCTTTTGTTTGGCTCGGCTGCTGCGACAAACAATTAACCCGAGTTTTGTGGACAGACAAAGGGAGAAAAGAGCAGACCGTGTGAGTTTCGCACAATGAACTTGAAATGTGTTTGTAAAACAAATGGCAGAGCAAGGGTAAAATTGTAAAAAAAAAAAAACAAAGTATAAAGACAACCACGCGGCGTTGTCATTGTTTAATTAGTGAATTTTTCCCCTGCTCTGCCAAATGTAAAGCGAAAACGCATTGCATATTCAGTGGCTAATAAGCGCGCCACTCGCTGTGCAGTCGGTTTGTTTTTCAAGTAAAGCCATTTAATTGCGCAGCCAGCAGCCAGCAGCCATTGACCGATTCATAGTAGTTGCCATCAGATTTCGACACGACTGTATTTTTTTTAAAAATACAAGTATTATTTCTTTTTTACTCACCTTATTCAGTTTGCGTCTGAGTAGGTGCGGGGCGCCGCCCGGTGGTTGCAGTGGCACGGCTGGCTCTGGTGTGACCTGTTGCACGGGTCGTGGTGGCTTCAACGCCAGCTTCTTGAGGCTGGCAATGCGTTTGTCGCACATTAAAGACACATCGTCGATGCGTTGCAGCACCTGCGGGTATACACGGAAAAGAAAAAGGCGTACATTAGTCACAAATCACCAACCATCGTACCACACACACAGCACTGAAAATGTTGCAAATATGGTTAAAGCTTTAGCAACATATCAGTACATACTGTATAAAAAATAACTTTCTATTTTGCTGAACATATTTTTCTATTTTAGAAACTTGCTTAAAATTTGAGTTAGTTGCCATAAGTTGTGTTCTCTCGATTTAATTATTTATTTATCGACAAACAGAGCTGCCGATGTGAAAACAAAAAATCAAAACAAACTCGTATAGCGTACACACATAAGGCATCTTTGTGCAAAATTTGAAGTATCTATCTCTTATAGTCTCTGAGATCCAGGTGTTCATACGGACGGACGAACATACAGACAGACATAGATCGACTCGTCTTGTCATGCTGTTCAAAAAAATACAAGTATATATACTTTGTGGGGTCTGCCACGCCTCCTTCTGCCTGTTACATTTTTCAGCTCCCGAAAACCTTATAAGTATACTCTTGTACATTTCATGTACAGAGTATAACAAGGACTATAGAAACAAGAGAGAACGCTACAGTCGAGCAAGCCCGACAGTGTAATACCCTGTACCCAGGTAAACTTCCGTCACTGAGTTATATGCGCCCATAGCAGCAGCAAAAAGAGGAAGAAGAAGAGCGAACTTGTTGCTGCAGTTTGGGGGGGTTGTACTGGCGAGAATTTGTTTCGCTAATAACTTTTCTTAGAATTGACCGAATTGAATAAAATTTTGAACAACAGTAGACAATTATATATAAATTATGTGTGCAGTTTGGTTGAGGTAGCATTTGAAATGTGGACGCTATTGACGAAATTCTGTAGCGGGGGAAGGGGGGGAAAATTAAAAAAAATAAAATAAACTCGTCCTTACTCGGACCTAGGAGAATCTGGATGCCAACTTTGGTTATTCTAGCTTTTATAGTTTCTGAGATCCTCGCGTTCATCCAGACGGACAGACGGACGGACAGACGGACGGACATGTCTAGATCGATTTCTCTCGTCATGCTGATCAAGAATATATATACTTTATGGGGTCGGAGATGCTTCCTTCTGTATGTTACATACTTTGCACAAACCTAATATACCCTTTTTACCCTACGGGTACAGGGTATAATAACAAAAATGTCTAATAACGAATCCGACTCTGTGGGGGAATTTTATTTGCCAAACGGCCAGCTATGCTACGAATCACAGCAGAGAGTAGTCAGAGACGTTGTTAGACCTAACAAAAAAGGAAGGAGAGAAGAATTATAATTAAATTAAAATAACAAATTAAAATACTTAAATAATAAAAGATAAGACATAGTTAAAAGGTAAAGGTGGAGAATCACTGACCCGTTGGGGGAAGGTTTATTAGCCAGTCCGGCAAGCTATGCAAGCTATTACACCTAATTCTGTTTTTACACGGTAGATTAGTTCCACAAAAAGTCGTATAAAAAAATACATTGATCATATGTTATTTTGAATCGTAGTCGTGCAACCATATATACAAATTTTAAATTTCAAATAGTGTTAAATCAAAACCGTGTAAAAAAGATCTTCTATAAACAGAATTAGGTGTACCTATATATTTCTTGCATCTTTTTATTTTTTTGAGTGTACATTTATTTGAAAGAGGGGAGGGGGCTAATTCAGTTGAAGTTGAACTTATTTAGATGGCCCAGAATTTTTAGAGTGCCCGTTAAATGGCACATCACATTTGTATATAGATAGGCATAATATTCAATAATGCGCTGGCTGATCAGGGCCGAACTTAGAAAGTCGTTTCACACAAGCTGCCAAGAATATGCGGTCGCTGTTATTATTATTGTAACCCAACAGATGGGAAAAAAGGCATCTCTTATTATGTCAAAACACACACATACTATACTCGTATGTCCACAATAAATGCCGTGGCTTTTATGTGAATGGAATTCTGCTTCTATTAAAATATTTTCGTTTGGTTGTTTATTTTTTACGACTTCTGCGGTCTTTGTACGCGAAAATGTCGTAAAGCGTGTAAAGTTCTTAGTGCGACATTTGTTGGGAGAAAGTGTCAACATTTTCGTATGCGACCAAAAGTAACAAATGTACTAATACCCTACTTTACTTCCCACCGTTTCTACTCTTTCTCGAGCATTCGGAAGTAGCCGCCTAAGATTATTCAAAATTAGCCGCAAAATGTCAATCGAAATCGTATTGACTTCCATCATTGGGTTAGCTGTAAAAACATTTGCATACACCATCGCATTTTCCAGATACACGAGACAAACAAACTGGCACACTAACTGCCATACCTTGGGTCCAACTATATTTAAAATATTGAAAATATTGTGAACTGAAATAAATTTGTTATAATTCTTAAACTATTGGTCAGGCGGTATATTGAAAAAATCGGAAAAAGAATCCTAATTTTGATCTATCGATTTATTTATGAGATACATTGTTTTAAACATGGATGCCAATAAGAATCTCCCCAAGATCTTAACATAAACTCAAAACTGTTTACGTACAAAAAGCAAATTAAAAACGAAGCTCGAATATTGCAGAAAAAATATTATGGATCATTCGACTCTTCCTATACACACACTAAACTGAAAAGAGAATGAATCGTCCCTTGTACAATTCATTCTCTTTTCAGTAAATGTGAAGAATTTAAAAAAAAAATAAATACATACTCGTATGTACTTGTATATATATAAGTACAAATATTAAATTACCACTAAATTATTATCACAAAATCATTGGCGAAACGGAATAAAATAGACCCATTTATTAAACAGATGATCACTGGTGATGATATATGAAATAAGTTGCATACGACAATGTTGAGAGTAACCGATCATAATCAATTCTCGGTTAGGCAGCTCTAAGGAAGACACACAAGTCGGGGCGGACAGCTAGGCTGTGTTTTGGTTGGAGTGGAAAAATATAGGAATTGGATGCTTCCAGATGGCCAAGAACTGAACTCGGACCTTAACTGTCAATTAGACCATTGGAATCTAGCGATTGCCAAGAAGCGACCAAAATTGTCCAATAGAAAAGGATATATTTTTGTTCTCTTCTCATAGCCCAATATTAAGATCTCAAATGTTGTTGCCGTTGATTAGGAAATATAAATAATATGAACATAATAATAAGTACGAAAAAACGACTTTTGCTGATTTAAATTAACATATTTAACATTTTTTAAAGATAAACAAATATAATAAAAAGTGAAAAGTTTTGTAAAATTGTACCACTATGCCGCCTAAAGAAACTTCGAATAGAGATCTGCATACATACAAATGTCTGCTTGCACATTCATGTATTCATTCGCTCACACACTCGTGCATACATATTATATACTATATGTATATGTATGTATACAGGTAGCAGCAACAGCAAGAGCAACAAAAAATGGCTTTATAATTATGTAGCAGAATTTACGGGCAATCTCGTGCATTTTTCTCTGTGATTTGTTGAGTGAAAAACTTTTCATTGCTGCAGCTCAAAAGAAATGAGCATAGAAAGTGAACTGCAAAGTGCTGTGAGTGCCGAGTCGGTGGTCGGGGTGCTAGGCCCCAAGTAACAATTGAAATTATGCCCCACTGCACTGCTGTCTCGCGGATCGCTGCAACACGCATGGGCAGCTTGTCTGTCAACGCTGTGCTGCTGGCGTCTTTTTGTTGTTGTTGTTGTTGTTGTCTCCACGTCAAATGGCGGCTCGTCAACTCGAAATGCAATTTGTTTGCTTGGGTGCTGAGTGCAATTAATCACATTTGTCACAATGGCCACAATGGCTGGCAATGTGGCAGCAACACTCTTACATGCCACAATGGACCTGCACTTGTTCGTCTGGGCCAATTCAGCTTTTACATGGTCGCTTGACTCTTCATTTGATATGCAGGCGTCAAATTGCCGCAAATTACGAACAAAATATTTCAAATAATTGCCATCACTTGTTGAGCAGTAAAAACTTGTACATACGTATACAAATCATATCAACATCATCACAAAATGGCCAAATGTAATATTTATTATTATGTTCTGCATTATCAATTAGCTTATAAAATACCCAAAATATATTACAAAATTTATTTTCTTGCTTAATTGCATTCAAAATTTATCAAATAATACGGAATTCAAAATTGGCGCCTACTCTGTAAAACTGTTGAGCTATTTGGTGTAAAAAGTTTTACCTGGGTATTAGAAATTTAAAATCATTTATATCAATACTTTTTTGGGAGTGGGACAGATTCCCGAATTCGACTCCGAACTATTCAATCTGATTCAGAACATATTTGATTGTTTAAAGTTGAAGTTGTATTCATGATTAACGATTTTTAACAAGTCGACAGTAGAAAAATCATATCTAATGTGTACAAAAAATTGCATTACGATTACAGTAATAATTCAGATTCTGATTTTCATTATCTATTTCTGTAGCTCGTAATCTGTATTTATATAAAAAAAAATTCCAAAAATTTGGGTTCATATTCGATAAGTTAAAAAGAGATTTTGAAAGTTTTAAGAATCATTGCTGAAAACATTGATGGGTGTAGCGACCAAAAAGGCCTCTTATAGACCAGCAATAAAATCCTACTATATACACCTAATTCTGTTTCTACAAGGTATTTACTTGTATGAAACACGGTTGGAAAATTAAAAATATTATGTATTGGTACACGACATTATTATATTAAGCACGATTTAAAATAACATATTATCAATGGCTTTTTTACACTTTTTATACACGATTTTTTCTGGAACCAATCTACCGTGTATGAACAGAATTAGGTGTATTTATTTTGAAATACATGGATACGACAGTAAAAAAAAATGTTGTTTATATTTAAAACAAGTAAGTATTGCTGAGTGCAAAATCGATAATGGCATAAAGACAATTAGGGCTTACTTCATTGAATATTAAGGACTAACGATCTTTAGACCGCCAACAACTATATAAAGAAATCGAGTCTTCAATTAGGTAGCGCCCCAAACTACCA